TCGCGTCGCTTGGCTTGTTTACGCTCGCACGTACGGCGTGCCTATTGCAACTTTGCATCAAAACAAGCGAACTCGATTACTCTATTTGTGCGACGCCCAAATAAAAAGGAAAGCCTTAATACTGCACGCAAATGCTCGCATTAGCGTGGTTGCCTTTCCTCGAGCATATCTTGGTTGGGCAAGAATCAAGTGTCTGTTGTCCGCATTGACAAGTGTCTATGAACGTTTTCCCGTTACCAAAAACTTTCGGAAACTCCCATGGAAAGGTCCATCGAGTGAAGAATGTGTTCCATTTGGCACAAGCTCCATTCGTTATGCTTTTGTCACCAATATTCATGATGGTAGCACAGATATCGCCATGAATAGCCTGGAACGGCCGGTGATTCCTTGTGAAAACTCGTAAATGGAACATGCTTTTTCACCGGAAATTTTCCAACGGGAAAACAGGATTACCTTTTTAAAATTCCAAGTATTCCTGGGAACTTTCCAATGGAACGCCCGGAAAACGTGCGTTCCATTAACATCCCAACTGGAATTTCCGGTATTTCGTAGTAAATGGAGAGCGCCTCATATTACATTTAAGAGGCCCCCTCAGGGCTTCAGGAGGTTTACGGACGTCTCTAGTCTGAATGTCAAAACCTCTTGTTTCGCGCATTGAGGAGGAATCCATTTCGCTGTTGGTATATTGCTATTGTCTTTTCGCTTTTCTCTGTCGCTGTCGCAGTTCCAACCCATCTTTGTGTCGCTTGTCACCATTTCTGCTCCATTGTCGCTGTTCAAAGGCTATGTCGATTGTCGGAATTTACCCTAACTGGGTTCCTGCCCTAACAGGACCTTTCCCAGGGACAAACAAAAATGACCGTATCATAAAAACGTCAAATCACGTAATTGTGTCAATCAAGTTACATGTAGACCTAGATCTTGGTAATGTTGGGTACATCGTATCACTCTTCGTAATTTTGGTTGCCGTATCATAAACAGTTTTATAGTTCCTGTTCGGCCGTTATCTATAGAAAACGAAGCGCTTTTGAAGTGAAATTTTATTTGTCTTTAAAAACGTGAGTGAAAGCGAGCGATGTAGAAAGAAGGATTTGATTAGTACGTACTGAGGTGCTCTCTTTTGTAAACATTTTGGTCTTCTGAAACAAATAAGCGAATAATTTTGAAACCGCTCGATGGATTTTATTAAAAATTTCAGACTCTCAAGATTAACCTCTTTTTGTGTGACTCTTAAGTTTCAAGATTATTGATATCTTGTAAGACAGTAAAATACGAAGGGCAGCGGCGACCTCAAAGGCTTGACGCGTTTCAGACAGGGCCTCCTTTTCTCCTCCTCGATCAAGAAGATAAAAGGAAGCTCTGATCGCAGGGTGGAGTCCTCATGATACGAGAGATGATTTTCTTGTCACCTTGTAAACTCTTTCTTTTCTAAGTTTGGGTGGCCCATCTTCTGTCTCATGGGACTTCACATTTTGCTTTCACTTTAATAAGTGTTAGACACTTAGGCGACCTGAAAACAGCGTAAGAGAGCTTTAGTAGTGTTGTCATCAGTCAGATATTTTCTCTGGTCGCGCATAAAACTTGCATACAACATACATGACCTAAAATAAAGGATCAATAAGACCATTTAAATGTGGAAAACAACTCTTTGAGGTAGTTTTCTAATTTTCAGGTCTCCTCTGCTAATTCTTGGGAGCGTGATTCCTTCAGTCTAAAGACTGCTTAATCGTCGATTAAGCGGTATTAAGATGTACCTCCTTAAAAAAAGCTGCAGAATGAAAAGTTCTTGTCAAATTAAGTCTAACCGGGAAAATAAAATGATTTACTCCTGAGTTTTACTTTTTTACTACATGTGTGGCTAGATTCTCCGAATATCGTGTACATGTTGGATTGAAAAGTCTGAAACTGGACTTCCAATGTGTGCAAGGTTAGCTATGAGATGTTAACTCCCACATATGTTTTAATTTAAAGCCTGACAGTGTGAGGTTTATTCACTTGACATGCGGAAGTTGGAATGTAGGGTTTCACTAAGGGGGGTATCCTGCGTACCAGGTGTTAAAAGGGGAAGGGGAAGCAGGAATTCTGGCGCGCGAAGATGTTGAAAACGGAAACCTTTTCCCCTCTTTTCCCATTTTTCCCCCTCCTCGCGCGCCCCTTAGCGCTCTCACGCACCCTGTTTCCGCGTTCTCCTTTCCCTTTTAAAGCTGCCACACAGGCTACACGTAGCGCATTAAGCCCCTCTATTTTTAAGTTGTTTCTAAAAGGTTGCGGTTGTGTACATTGGCTTGCACCTCACACAGACTGCAAGCAAATGTGACAACATGAAGAAAATATAATATCGAAGGTCAACCTTTGGAAAGTGTTAAAGTGAAGATTTAGGATTGTTTACTGCTGGTGACCTCTCATGGAACCAACAAGTTGATAACTAATAACTGCTTAGCCTAATGGGGTTTTAGGGGTGGTTCAAAGGACCTGCAGGGACTTAAAGGACATTGATACTATGAAAACACTTTACCGTAGTCTTGTGAGACCTTTATTAGAATATTCATGGGAAACTTGGAAGCCTCATACTAAACGTAACATTGATAAATTAGAGGCTGTACAGCGAAAAGCTACCAGATGGATTACTAAGTCTGATGATGATTATGATGCTATACTATTTAAGTTAAAATTGTTGTCATTATTTAATAGGAGGTTCATTAGAGAGTTACGTAACTGATGGATGATATAGGCATATCTAACAAGCTCATATTTTGTAAGGACAGAAACACAGGTTATAACTTGTAAAGGGGAAAATGACACCCAGGGCCTTGATTATAGCCATTGATTTATTATGTGTTGTAAAATTGGTTAAAGATATCAACAAGCGGAATAAAAACTGCTGCCACTGCTCCATTGAGCACGGTGAATAAAGATTTAAAAAAGGATTAACTTCTGTACTTCTTACTTTGGCTTGCACCCAAAAATGCGAGTACATTTGTCTTCAATCTGGATTTTGTGTGTGGGTTTGTTTATTGTGCTCTCTGATTTCGCAAAAAAAATTGTCGGTAGAAAAGTCTAAAGTGACAGAGGGATGGCAAACGCCAAATTCAAGTTGAGAATCTCTCAAAACAGAAGGTGAGCGGATAAAAACAGTTCACAACAATTCTAATTAATCTAATGGATAGAAAATTGCATGAGACTACCAACATTTGTGTAGAGGATATAATGAACAGTAAACGACAAGTAAAGGGGAAACTTAGTCACGTGGTACAAATTCGCGTTTGCGTTTGACGTAAACGTTATGCTTAACCTCTCTTAAAACTTACTAGTGGATTTTAGGGAGAACTAACATCCCGGAATATCCGATACTCGCAAAGGCGGTTTTAGCTTTGACTGAGAAGACGTTATCGCTTATTTTGTTAACTTCTTTTGTTAAGTTTGACTGCAGTGCTTGCAGCTCACTCATTTGATATGCGGAAGTTCAAAGTAGAATGCCATGGAATGTAGGATCAGGGGGTTTATTCTAAGTAAGCCTTTCTACTTGCAAGTGCACGTGGTTTTAAAAAGGTTGCGGTTGTGTACATTAGCTTACACCTGATACAGACTGCACGCAAATATGACATATCCCTCTAGCTAAGAACACAAAAAAAACCTGAACTAATGTTAGCTTCTCCTACTTAATGACTGTTTTAGATCTTCTTCTATAACGTTGGAAAATCAGAATCACGTTTCTTACAGTGGACTATCAGCTTACCCTTTGCTGACTGTTTCAAAGCCGCAGAAAAAATACTTCCTGAATGCGCCATGAAAGGGATTGCGTGCACCGAGCGGAAGTTTTCTAGACATAATCCATGCACACTTACCACGGATCATCACCAAAAACCCTTAACATTTATTTGGCTTTCGGAAAGAAGTGACAGTTTTCTAAAAGAATTATCATCACTGAATCATTTAACAAGTTAAACCACGAAACAACGAGTGCGTTCGCAATGATAGCATTGAATGACCAAGAAAAGAGTTGAGGGTTTATTTAATAACAGTTTCCAGGATCCACTGTTTTTCTTCCTTTCAGGAAACGTAGTGCATGTGTGGGTGGTGATAAAGTCTTTTAAGACTCATTACGTGGAATACCGCATGCATATAGAAAGGATAAAATTAGCTTCCCTTTGCCAGGAGGGTCATATCTCAAGTTTGACCGGCTAAACTGCCCCTATGCATGGTAAACAACTAGAGTTTTGGCAACAAGCTTTAGATAAACGTTGCTCTTACAAATATCTACAATTACTGTTAATTGTAGGAATATTTTTAAGCTGCTTTAGAGGGAGTTGTCCTTAAAATATTTTGATAAACTATTTCCACCGACAGGGCCGTCTCTCGCACTGCACTCTGGGACCAAAGCGACACTTCTTTTGTTGAGCTCCTGAAAGCGTGCCTTTGTCTCTTAAATTTACATAGTATATGAAATCAATAAAAATTAGGCAAAGTGCCGGACAGCGTGATTCTAACAGTGTGCCCAGAGCTCCATAAGACAGTCGGTTTTCATTAGTTTGAATCTAGTGATGAAATACTTGGCAGAAGTAGCTGTTCGCGAGTCCTTTTGTTCTTCTTGTTAATATGCAAGACATGAAATTCGCTCTATTAAAGCATAACATATGATTAAGTGCACGGCTACTTAAAGTTGTCATACTGTGAAAAGCCAAATAAAATATTGTTTTTGAAGATGACTGCCAAACGTCGGTTTAACGTCTCAACAACAACCCTATTCAAGACTTAAACTCCCACACAACCCAGACGATCACATTCCACCTACGTTGAAATGACTCCTCGGCTCAAACCATCAACTGTAAAAGAAAATTTGAAATTTGCATCATATTGCACTTTCACTACCCAATCAGCTTGTTTTTACTTGTCAAGAGGATTTGGTATACATGGCTGATTTGTCAAATATGAGCCGAGGAAACGTTTGTACCGCTATAAAACAACCCATCCAGATGTCGACAGGCCATTACATCTAGGTTTAGCAGCCAGATGGACCTCAGAAAATTTGCACCTTTTGTCTTTCTCCTAAACCTGGGGATTCTCCCTCTAACTGTAAAAGGTATGCCAGTCTCTTCTTTTCATCGTAGGCCGTTGCAATCAGCATTTGTATGTTCTTATACCTAACAAAAGGCAAATATTACTTTTTTTCTTGTAACATAGTTGAAAATTGTTAAAATTTCATCTCCTGAAAAGCAATTCACCTCGGTCAAAGACTGTCTATTTTGTTCTTTATTTTTTAAGGAACACTGCGTGTACTTATTTAGACCTCCTCATATAAAGAAAGAAGGTCTGACAGCTAATATTTTTGAATTTCTAAGTTGTTCTGATTTACAACTTTGAGGAACACAACAAGCCCCTCCCTCTCGTTTAAGTGACTAACTCAGTGTTCGAGCTTGCGACTAGAGTACTAAGGTCAAAGTCTCTGATCGATGCATTTTTCCATCTTATTTAATGTGCCAGTTTCTATACATCTCACGATCTCGAGAAAATGATTATATTACAAAGTTTTCGATGGAGTAATTTGTTTGTTGTAACTCTGTTCTCCAAAATAGTACAGTCCGTTTCCGTCAGCGGGCTACCACTTGGATTGAAGGAAAACGAAACAAAATTTTAATCACAGACAGGTGATTGACTCTTGATACGATATTTCATATACCCAAAAGACCTATAAAATTGGAGATTTCACAGCTAGAACATAAGATTTTGACAGTGGGGTGAGATCTCTGAAATTAAACCTGCCCCTTACACTCCACACCCACATTCTTATGCAACGCGAAAGTTTTAATCCATTTCAAACTTTTGACGGCCAAAGTGATAGCTGGCAGTTCATCAACCCATCTTTTACAGAAAACCTTAAACGAATTTTTATTCTTTGAGTTTCCTACTTTGGAATCAGTCATTTCCGCACTTCTACCGATATTCATATTTCCTAATCCGTGCAGCTCTGTTTTAATCCAATCGGAGATAACTGTCATTCGCGGGCTACCCTTTTGGTGCAAGGAACCGAGCTTACTCGACACACTGCGTGTGCGCGCGTAGCAAAACGGTAATTTGATTAATCTAGATATTTAGATTTGCTCTCAACAAGTGGAGTAACTGAACATGAACGAAAAAGGAGCTAGGGGAGATAAAATTGGACTTAAAACAAATCTAAAGAGAGTTATTACAGTAGCTATTCTCCAAGTTTGCCATTTGGACCGCCGCGATCTTTATCAAATATTGTCCAAACCAAGAGTGAAACATTGAAATATGATAAAGGCGAAGCAAACAATATAAAAACTAGATGATATCAAAATTTGCATACAGATACTTACCTCCAAGACGAGAATGCGCTTGTATAGAACTGACCAGATATGCCATTCACCAAATTGTTCAGTACAATTCCAGAGAAGCATGTTGAGCATTTGAGGGGCGGGGGGGGGGGGGGTCCAAAGAAATCGGTCGTTCAGTCCGCCTGCCAGTATTATGTCACATCTCGCGAGCAAAGTGTTCATCGAAGAGACAGTTAAAAATTTCGAATTTACCAAGGAAATACCGCTCTGATTTTTTGGATTTGGAGATTTTAAGTTCCCTCTTGTCATAGAAAACTAGACTTTAGTACTTTTTTAGGATGAAACGTCTACTGGTGTAATAAATTTTAAAGATTCCTTTCTATCGTTGAAAAAATTTTATGGGCAATCAAACCGACCAGTCACACTTTTGAGGGCCAGTGCACAGCAAGATTGAGAAATTTAGACACAGCAATAGGAGGTTCATCAAAGGATTTATTATACTTTACATTGTGCGTATTTTGAGCTCTTCAGAGCTAGTGGAACCCCATATCAATCCTTTCAAGGTTCGCTTAGCTGTAGCGTTGAAAGAGGAAGCTACATGACAGATATTTGTGAGAGACTGTGAGCACTGAATCTTGTTGCGTTAACATGGTTTAATACTGTACTGGGCATACACCTGTAATTCTATAATTAAATCCGGAAAACCAATGGTTTCGTTTAATTATTTTTTGGAGGCAAACCCGGTGGAGATTTTAGGGTAATAATATTGATGATTAAGCCGATGTACAAAAGGCAGGTTTAGTAAACTAGTACAGTCTTGTGGTGTACTGTGTGTTGTTTGTCATGATGTCAACTAACATTGAAAAAAATTCAGCTGTTTGAGAGGAGAGGGGACATAAGCTGACAGCTTGTGGTTTTTTCTGGCCGTAAGCTTGGCCAGTATGCAGATCAAGAACTCTTGAAATTCCTTCCCAAAATAATACTCCGGACTTAAGCTTAAAATATATATTGATCCCAGTGCATGACCAGCAGGGTCAGCAGTAAGAATAAAGAAAAACAGGCGAAAAGGAAAAACCAAATATCAAAACAGTTTACACAAGCAGATTATAGCAACACTAAAGCTCACACACATTCGATCAAATTAGCGATATATAGCGATATTTGATAGCTTCTTAGCTTTTCCTCGACCTCACTCGTCCTAATAACTGTCGTATCCCTTGCTAATTTGCACAAGCGACCGCGAGGCTCTTGCCCGTTACTATGTGACGTCATACTGGCAGGCGGAGTGGGTCAAGAAACTTAGGAATAAAACAATAGAGTTACCTCCCCTCCCCACCCCCTGATGTTGAGTAATTGAAATGAAAAATATCTGTATATATAAACTTCTTCTTCCTAAAGTTTCTCACCTAACTACAAGCCAAAGATTTTACACCTCGCCTGGAAATGAAAAATGAAAAAAAGCTAGGCTACGTTTTTTAAGCGCATATTTCTTTTACCTATAACGCCAAGTTACGTTTCTACAGCGCTATTTAAATGAAAAGAAAAGTCACAATATCCTTGCAAAAGAACAGCTTTTGGTGATATTTCTTTCAAACTGAACTTCACTAAATGAAGAAGAATTAATTTTCTGTCCTCACATCTTAATAACACACGAAAGTTGCTTATCTCTCCTCACCTTTCAAATAAACACAGACACACCCCTGGCCGCTCTTCATTTCTTTTCAAGCAACACTCCGTCTCTTTCCATCCCATACCTACACTACATTGAGACATTTTTTCCTATTTTACAGGCATTTCCTATCAGGTTGGAAAACTGAACGCATCAGAGACACGCCAAGGATGGAATTGCAACGGTGGATGTGAGGCGCCACAACATTGTACACTGCCACGCCGTACTAACGTGATATTTCCGCAAACGTTTAGTGGATCTGGAACAGTAAGTAAAGCCTAAGCAATTAAAAATTACCGTATTTCTTCAAATAATAACCTCGAGCGATTATTCGAGGGAGGCGATTATTTCAAATATTGGTCACTGGAAGTCGGCCCCTAAATATTTTATTTTGTTACCCGTTAATAAAAATAAAGATATAATCACATCAAATATACTAAACATGGGCTTTATAAGTTTTCAAAAAATGGTTCCTTGTCAGGAGAAATCCTGTTCCTTGGTTATTTTTCAATTTCAATATCCTTGGCGTTAGAGCTTGAATCGTCACCAATCAGTTTTGCTGGATGAGATTCCACTTCAGCTTTGTTTGTTATCCAAGGTGTCAATTTTTAACTCAACAGGGAGGTGGTAAAGAAAGAGAAGATAGCGAGAATGGTGGGGGTTAGGGGCGATTATTTGAGGGAGCCGATTAATCGAGGGTCGGCTATTTTTCGAGGAAATACAGTAGTCTAATCTTAAGGGTTGGTGGCAACTTTCTTTTGTTAGCAGAACACAATAAGATTCTCTAGAAACTAATGTATTTAACAAATTTTGATTTGCCAGCATAGTGGCCTTTGTAATGTTATGACCTCAGACAATTTAGTGCGCATAGGTGTGCTCAAGTGCTCCCTAATCCCCAGGATGCGAGTGTTTTCAAACAAAACAAGACAAAACAAAAAAGCCAGAGAATTCTGACAATAAAATTAGGCTAGAAGATCTTTAATCCTTGGAATTGGCGTCGGGAATGGAGGGTTGAATTAGATCCTCTTTTTCTTCAGATTTGGTGTGAGGAGTGCACGCAGGCACGAGCATTGAAATCACAAGACGCGCGCGAGAAACGTGGCCGGTAGTCTCGCCCCTTCAGTCACGCGCGTGTTCATTTGCGTTTCTCGCGCGTTTCGCTCGACAGACAGATCAACAGTCCGGAATATCCCTAAATTTAAGGACAGGGCCAAATGGTCACGCGACACTGTTCAACCAAGTAGAAGGTGGGCTTGTGTTTATCGAAACATCGACCAAGTGATCAAAAATTTTCACAACAGCGGGACAGTGTCGGACAGATTTTAAGATAAGCTTACAATACTCGGCTAGGTTTCACATTATTTCAAAGAAAACATTTGATGTAAGAGAATAAGAGTATTATTCATTGCAAGGAATCATTGGGGTGTTCGAACTGATTCTGGACCGATCGCAGAGGTCGTGGCTTCACTGACTTGGCTTGCAAGATTTTTGATAGAAGCAAACTTGAAAATTTGTTGAGATCGTACAAAACATGGGAATGGTACTACCTATTAACTTCTACAGGACAAGAATCAAAGAACCAGTCATCATAACAAGAATAAAAAGTAGTTCAAATTTATGAATTTTCCTTGTTTGTTTTTTTGTGTTGTTTTGTGTTGACTTCACGCATCTGGTGCTTTCTTTGCTTGTTGTCGTACCTGCAATGTTTTAATTTTATCCCAGATAATCAGTGCATGATTAATGTGTAGCGAACTACATCATTTACAGTTGAAATTTGTCTTCTTTCTTTGATTTTTTTAACTGTGGATGAACATTTGGAGAATCCAACAACAATAAATCTTTCCTGATTTGGTGAATTTCAGAAACAAAGCGGTTAATAACTACCTTGCGCTTATGATCTTTAAATTTATCCCCGCAAATTCGGCAAAGTGCGGCAAGATGCATGTTGGACGTGAATATCCATAAGACTAATAAAGTTGTTTTGGCCTTGAAAAGAAAAAAGGCAAAGGCTCGAATTAATGCGAAAAAAAGTAGTAACACGGCTCAGCCATGTCTGCGTGAAACCTGGGAGTGGAACACGTTCGACCTCACGCATCAAGGACAATTTCTCACATCTGACTCTCAAATCCGGACAAATTGTTCTTGACACATGATGACTGTGTCCTTTTTTGTGTTCTAATGAAATCATATCAAAGCACGCTAAAAGTGTCGTCTTTTAAGTAGCTTCGAAAGTGCTCAAACGTCAGGTCTTCTGGAACATCTGCGGACATTTAACTTTCGGCAACGTTCGGAAGTCTTCGGTAATTCGTCGGAAATCTTTGGAAGTCGCCGGGACGTTTCGTGAAATCTTGGTTATGACAAGGTGAAAATCTCACGCATTTGACTCAGAAAAAGCTGGCAGGTATAATATTGGGACGTAGATCGTAAGAAGACCAAGAAAACCGTCTCTGAATCATCTCAGTAAAACCCTGCAATTGCCTCAGTTTAACGCCCTCATTCTGAGCAGCCATCGTATGCTGGCGCGTTCTCAGAGAAACGTAAATTTGAAATCATAGTGCATTTGCAGATGGTACATAACACACATGAGATTTTAAGCGTCTTGCTGCTAAGATTACCCCTAAAAACGCACATTTGATCACATTATACGATGAAAAGAGTTGAACAATGCTATTCAAGGCCTTAAGAACAAGTTTTGTAGAAAATAAAGGACAATCAGGCCCTTTGTCAGTTGACAGTAAAACCCAAGGCAAATGTCAGTAGTCAGTTAAATTTTCGGCTATTTGTGAGTTGTCAGTCGTCAGTTAACCCCATCCAGACCCTCTTCTAGGTTGTCTACTATCCCCACATTCAACGTGATAAACGTTAATGGATATGACAATTGAGGAAAAATATCTAGAACGTCGTAAAAAATCTGTAAATCGAAAAATAATAGATACTTGTTCACCTACCTTGAAAAGCGACCAAAATCTCGCCTACATCGTGTTGTTTAAAAGAAGAAACAAAATGTGCTGAATATTTCACGAGACACTTCCAATATGGCTTTCGATACGCTGTCCACTTAAAAAAAATTGTGTATGCCTCATAAAAAGTCTTACAAATATGCCTGAGAGTCTCGAAACGGTGACTGTGATCGTTTAGGTAATCTATCCGCCATTTTCCTCGAGAAAAATAGCTCCATGACGTTACAACTGTCCTTAAATTTAGGGATATTCCGGACTGATCAAGGTAGAAGAAAAAAGAGAGACTGCTCGTAGTCTAGGGTTGAATTGTCGCCTGCAAATTTTCATTGATGCTTATCTTTTCAGGTTCGAGTCTTTGTGTCATTAAGCCACGAAGATCAGTCTTCAGTAGTTCATTCGCCTTCTGCTGTGTGGGCAGAGTCCATAAGTACAGCTGGATTTCAGTTATGCTCGCGTGCAACAGGTTCTACAAATGACACTGGAATTATCAACTGGGTAGCGTTTCAGGACAAACCCATGTTAACGCACGGAAGCGTTACTTTTAGTGGAATATGGACAACAGAAACCAAGTGTGAGAAGGTGGCCTTTTCTCAGGTTAGATAACAATAATTGATAACAAGTGTATAATTTTGTTATAAAGGAGTAAAACGTAATTAAATAGTAGAAACAAATGAAATAGTATCAGAAAGTTTTGTTCTAAAACAAATGGTCTCTAGTTCAATATCCGGAATTTGTTCTTATTGGATAATCGGACCCATCAAAGTGCATTGCTAGACGTCTTGTTAAGCTTCCTCTCGGGCTCAGATTCAAACTTTTCCTTCTATCGCCTTTAGACAAACCATTTTCACGTTTTACTTTAGAACATAGTTAATTGAGTGGAGTGGTTATGAAACCAGTTAGACTCCTTTGTTATATGTTTTTGTGGACCAGAAAGTGCACAACGTTCAACAGCATTCCTGTCATTTGGATTGTTTTGACCAATAAAAACGTTGCATTAATATATTCTGTAACAATTTGCCAACAGAAAACAAAGGATTGTGCGCTTTCAGGGTGCTTCCAACATAAACTGCAGCACTGTAAATTGTTAATTTATCATTGATGTTTGCCGCTTTTCACAACCAGTCTCCTCTAATAACTATGTTTAGAAGTAGTGATTGAATAATGCTTGACCGTTTTGATTGTATTGATGTATCAAAGGAAATTGGGAAAATAGAAGTCTATTTATTTAATGATGTTAAATTTTTGGCATTAAACCTAACAAAGTTAGCCGAACAGAAACATTGCTGTCAGTAGCTTTATTTAAGTAATGGGCCAAATAAGATGCATTCAACAACCTTTTCAACACTTCGTAGAAAGAGGTGAAGAGGGGTAGAAAATTGAGTCGATGTGAATAGACAAGATTTAATTAATCTGCTACCATTAGCCTTTGATAAATCCTTAATTTCATTTAAGTGCCACTGAGCACTTCATTGATACGATCATGTTGATTTATATCTCGAGAAGCTTGTTTATTTTTTAGTCAATAGTTTTTCATATATCTAACATTTTTTTGCAGAGCTTTGCTTCCAAGCCTCGTGTGTTTGCCTCTGTTAAGTACACTCGCAGTACTAAGCCAAATGATGCTATGTACTTATGGTTAGAAAACGTCAATTCTGGAGGATTTGAAGTGTGCTTAAGGGAATTCTTGCCCTTTGATGGAAAGCACCAAGATGCAGTTGTGGTAAGTGAAGAAAAATGCTCAAGTAAACTATAATATTATAAATATAAATAAATAAATAACTTGACTTTGCCACACTTCGGCAGCCCGGACAACCAACTACCTAGAACGTTCGTAACACAATTAAAGTCAGTGTCCTGTCTCACGTGTCTTATGCAGTCATTTCTTCTTAAAGGAAGTGTCGTTCGATGCCTGACGCAACTCTTCTTGCAAATTAAACATTATTTTCTTGTCCACAGGACTGGTTCGCATTCACTGGAAATGGGAGTCAACTTAATTTCACAATAACTGGAGAAGAAATCTTTCCAAACAGTGGAAATCCATCGGCCAAAAACAACTACGGCTTTTGTCAGGTGAAAACTTTAGTTCTAACAAGAACATTTAGCAAGCCACAGAACATTTTCAGTGGTTGAGGTCACACTAGAGAAAACTTACTATAGTAAACCTAAATTTACCAGGCCATGGTGATCGACAATGTATCCAAAATGGCAATTCCCAGGTGAACGCGACATGCTTATCTCGCGATTTGAATGTGCGCATATTTTGGAATTTTTAAATTTCGCGACTTTGCGAGAATTTTATATTTCGAATCACTTCAATTTCGCGTTGTTGAGTGGGCGAATATTAGAAGTGGGGAATTTACAGACGATGGGCAAAAATAGAGGGATAAGTGAGCACGTTCACATCCATTTACTAACCTACATTACTTTTTTACCTATTTACAGGAAGTACCTTTTAATACGACCTTTTACAAATCGCCAATTGTGATTCTTTCCGTAAATCATGAGTATAACCTTAAGGTCAAGGGAAGTCGCCTTCCAGAAAATAATATAATATCGTTCTGGGTTGAGGTAGGTTTGAAAATTTATTCTAACCTGAGAAAAAAGCCGGCATTTCACGCTACACCACCACTAGTTTTTCCACAAAATGACGTCTGATGAACGAGAACGAAAATTGCATACTGATGATGTGTCACCTGGGCATGCAGTGCTTCTGATTGGTTGATTAGAAAACTTCAATTGCGGCACGACCAATCAGGAGCAGTATCTCGATCTAGAAAGTGCCAAGTCATCATTATGGGATTTCTTCACTCGTTCCACAGACGTCTTTTCAACCAGTAATTAGTTGCGTCGTGAAATGGGGTTTTCCTCACTGGATGATATTCTATTCCAATCAGGAGCAGTATCTTGATCTGGAAAGTGCCAAGTCATCATTATGGGATTTCTTCACTCGTTCCACAGACGTCTTTTCAACCAGTAATTAATTGCGTCGCGAAATGGGGTTTTCCTCACTGGATAATTAATATTCTTGTTCAATAAGGGAAGAGAAGTAATCCGTATATTATAGTAAATTGCTAAAAGGACCGAGAAAGAGCCATAAGAAACAAATAATTTGGACCTGATCCGTGAATTTCATGACTTGTATTGTCGTCGTAGAAAGTAAGAAGAAATTATGGATTTTCTAGTAACTGATGAGTGCTATCACATTTTGCTGTAGGACTTTGGATTAGAATCTATGAAGATATGTGTTAAAGACCTCAGTGGATTAGGATCTAGTCATGATCCCTTGATTGTCAGCTACGCTGTTACTGGAGGTTGGTAGTTAATTTTCCTATTGTAATGATCACTATTTCTAGAATTATTGTTATTATTATCATTATTATTGTTTTTATTTTCATTGATATCTTTTAGAAGTTTTTATTTGTAGGAAAACATTTCATGATGATACAATTAACGAAACGCTGGAATACAAACAATTATATACCTTATTCATGTTGCACTCTACCTTTGCACGCACTTTAGGATTGATGGGATAAGAGCAATTAGAGGGCAGACAAGTACCGTATTTATTCGAATAAGCGCCCAACCTCGAATTAGCGCCCACCTCGAATAAGCGCCCATCCTAAAGGCAGAAAAAGTTAATAAGCGCCCAGCCTCGAATAAGCGCCCACCCCCTCCTCCTCCCAATCAAACTCAAATAAGCACTCACCCCCACCCCACCCACTTAAGTGAATAAGTTTCAATAAGAGACTTCCCCAAGGACTGAGTTTTTTTTTCAGAGTATTTTACAGAAACCTTGCTTTGTTACTTCTTCGCGTTTTGTTATTAGCATTTATTGTTTTGTTGCAAAATAAACATACTTCACTTGCTGAAAATGGTGAAAATTTAATAAGCGCCCAGCCTCGAATAAGCGCCCACCTCTAATAAGCGCCCACTCTCAAGGTACAAAAATTTAATAAGCGCCCAGGGCGGTAAATCGAATAAATACGGTAATAAAATTGCCAAGACGAGTAATCGAGTAATTGCGGTCGAGTTTGTTTATTCCCTCAAAATAAGACGACGATTCTAGTCATGCAAAATGCAAAATGTAAAGTTGGACCAGTTTTACTTCATAATTCCTTGCTGTGAAGACTTCTACTGTCGTGTACTGCATTCAAAATCACTTCCACCCGTATTTTGCGATTTTCGTTTTTAATATTGAAACTTCTTTTCTATTGTGTGATTTGTATTTGCAGATTTTATCTCTTGTTTGTCTCCTAAGAAACCAAGTAACACTGCTTTAATTTATATCATCCGCCTTAAGCGCGTGCAATGATAGCGGGTATGGTTAATAAGGTCTACTAACGGTAAAATTAATTGGTTGAGTTGCTTGTATGCAAACAGGACACTGCTATTTATTTTTAATTCAAATATGAAAAATATATTAGAAACTTATGTTTTTTCTGAATAGATAACCACTCATTTTTTTTTTCTTGGTGCAGATCTTAATCCTTGCCTTAATATGCATTGCCCTCGATTTGGATTCTGCAGAACCTACAGTGCGCATGACGCTCGGTGTGAGTGCGATGACCAATGCCCCTCATATAAAGACCCAGTGTGCACTGCGAACGGAACAACTTACGACAACCGATGCTGGCATAAGTTAAGCTATTGCAGAGGACTTGAAAATAATATGGTCTATCACCCAGGAAGCTGTGAAGGTAACGAAAACTAATTTCAACGATTTTTTTGGCTGTATATGCCACATAAAATAGTCTGGCAGTTAAGCTCTCGATCGCTGAGAATTGTAGTTGTTGGTTCAAAATTGCATTCAATTTGGCTTCTAGCTATGGGATGTTACTTTTAAGCTCACTTTTAACTCCTCACGCAGGCTAAGCAACAATAGACAGCTGTAACAAGCTACTTCGTCTCTCTACTTTGGCAAACAAACATATAACAGCCCAGACTATAGCCGATGTTTTATCTGTGTAAGATCTTTTATTCTCTTTTGCCTTGCAATCTAGTTTTTATCGCGTAAAATTAGATTTATACAAATTTGCTCGGGGCAAATATGGTTCAAAAAAGTGCAAAAGAGGAGGAAACGAAGTCAAAGAAAAGGGTGGTCAATATCACATTTACATACCAGTCTACATCGATTTGCATATTTGAGGGCAAATGCAGTATTTATTATCTTTGCCCTTGATTTCATCCTCTTTTGCACTTTTTTTTTGCACCTTATTAGCACTGAGTAAATTTGCTGAAAATCAAATATTTCGCGCAGTGGCGCACGCTCCCACGCGTACATGTCATCACGTACGCTTTTGAGTTCTAATTTTTTTGTTGGCCTCCTCCAGTATTGCACATGTTTATCTTTATACTGGCATATGTTTATCTTGGGCACTGAAACCAGCAACCAGCATGCAATAATAAGCAGCCACTAAACATTTCATTGTTGAGCGTAGCCGACATTACAAGTTATAGCCTACTAGTTCTAGTTCAATTTCCACGCTTTTTTTATTACCACCCTTCACCACTTAGAGTTACAGGACAACGCAAGCTAATGAAGCTACGACCTTAGCGATAATGCTTAAAGAGTACAGTAATTCTTCCTTATAAAGTACTTAATTTATTATAAAACAGGTTTTCCAATTGTACGGGGCCGTATAGATCTGCTACAGGTTCCAAAATGGTCAGATTCAAACTGTCAGACAATCACATTTCCTCCATACCGGTTTTATCCGGATAAGCAAGTTCGTGTTCAAATAACCGTCAATCACATGAAGCTCAATGACTCTGTGACAGTCCACGACGCTGTTACTTCATGGACAGAAAGTATCAACACAAAAAACTTCACCGTCTGTGTCATGCAAACCGGGAGGAAAGAAGAAGCTGCGAATCCATTTGCCACCATTGATTGGGTGGCTTATCAAGGAGCCCCACCCGAAGGATTGACGGGAACGGTTGAGTTGCAGAAATGGTGGTCTGGTACCAACTGCGCAGATGTGACTTTTCCTACGGTGAGAGATTAATTGATGCAAGTCCCCATGGCAAATGTTAGACTTTCATTCACCCGACAGCTTTAATCCACGCTGTCTTTAAATTAAAAAATAACGGATCATTACGAGGTAACTAAGAAGAAAAATGACGATTGCTACAATAAATAACAAGACAAGGCTAGGTAATAAATAAGAAGGGGAACTTACTCAGTGATTAGTTGCGTGTAATTTTTGTAGCAATATGCATCTTAACTAGATTTCAGTTGTTGTTGCGTGTTTTTTGGCTTTTTCTTCAGGGCAAGTTTGCTGAGGCGCCAATAGTCCTTGTGACGTCAGAGCACCTGAGGACTGGTAAAGAGTATGATGCTGCTCTCATTTGGATTGAGGACGTAACTAAGGACTCAGTTAAAGTCTGTCTTCGTGAAATGCAAAACTTTGACGGTAGACACCAAGATATCACTGTGGTACGTTCTTAGTGATTTTCTTAGAAACTGGAACGCGACTGTCTGCAAAATTTGTGAGGATTGTTGGTCTGTTAACCATAACAGGGCGGGTAAGATGAAATGGCGTTGATAACTTTAAAGATCGTCCGGGCGAGTGATGGTTCAGTCGAAAGAAGGGAACTGCAGAAAGAAAAACTTAAAAAGAAACAGAAATATAATAATAACGAAAAGAAGAAAAAGAAGAAAAAAAACTGAATATCATTACAAGAAGTGAATTTTAAATAGCACGCAAATTGGTCTGCCTTGTCCCCATGCTTCCCTTCCTGACGTTTTTACGAGATTCCCCCGATGTCGTAAAAAATTGTGGATTTGCATCCTTTCCTTGACTTTTTGCGCTCTTTGTTAGTTCACAAATTTATAGAGTTCAAAATGCTTAGGTTCACTGAAAGGGCCCTGAAAATGCAGTTGATTTTAAATAAATTTTCTGTGGCATCATTTTTGTTTTTTCCTCTTTTCACAGAACTGGTTTGCCTTCTCCAAACTGCACAAGCCTCTTTTCACTGAACATGGCGTCATAAGTTTTCCAAATACGAACCCACCTTCGGATAAAATGAACAATGCTTATTGTGAGGTGAGAAAAGAATTCTATGCAAAATTATAAGCATAAGCGTGCTATTCACAGGATTTTCCGTCACAAATATTTAGCTTACTTACATCACTGTTTATATCTTCAAAACACCTATAGTCATATACACTGTACGGGGTAGAGATCAAAGTAACCAGAAAAGCTAAGAAGCTGGTTCACAAAATAATGTTTGAAAAACGTTAATCAAAATATTAAAAGGGCAGTTCGTTCTGTTAAAATGATTAATCGCAAATATTGTTTGTCCAACCGTGACTTCAAAAATAAACACAACCGAAGGTAACTAAAGTTAAAGGAAACAGTGTTAAACGTTGTATGTTTCTCTTCCATGGCAGTTCGTCACATTCACGAGAGCTTATAACTCGACTCCGACAGTGCTTGTCTCAGCCAATCACAGCACGACAGTATCTGGGAATTCAGCACCGATCCACAACGGAATTACAACTTGGATCGAGGTAAAAGTTTCCGTCAGGGGGCGAATGTGTAGGGATGTGTCCTGGCAAAAAAAAATTTAAACCGAAGCTCGACGAAAGATAAAACTGAACAGAGTCACGCTTGAGGCGATGTATAGGTCGATAATAGATGTGGCTCAAAATGGACCAAGAAAATTTGAGATTGCTTATTGGCTAACTTCATGTTTTCGATCGCGAATGTAATTATGTAGGTATTATTCATTGAAGTTTGAATAATATCTTTAAATACTCAGGCGCCGCGGTGGTCTCAAACTTTAAATCTGACGGTTCGGGTTTAAACGTTACCGTAGTTTTTTTCTTGGAACAAGTCATTTGCTGTCTTCATCAACGGGGATCAAGGTTTAGCCAGACTGTTTGGGCCTTATAGCTCCTGCGCCACCATCATACCCATTATTAGGGAAAAAAAGGATATTTTGGATAACCTTTGAACCTTTTAATTCCTTTAGCTTTTATAACTTTATTATTTCTAAACCTTCCAATCTTTTAATTTTCTAGCGGTCTTTGCAAGCTTTCATCAAACCACGGTTTTCAGTTACGGCGAATATGTTTGCATTTCTATGTCACATAAAAAGACTGTAGGAGAAAGGTTTAATTTCAGAGACTATTCTAACATTCACTCCACGTTAACCCAGTTGTTTATGGTTACAGCTGCATAAAATGTACCAGCTACGTTAAGTGTTTATTTTTTCAGAACATGAATACCTCTGGATTCAGAGTCTGTGTCAAGGAATTATACGGGACCAGATATGACCCCTTGTCCGTCAGTTATGCTGTGCTTACAGGTCTGTAATAAGTACTGAACTCCTTTATGAAGTAGTTTTTGGCAAACATCTTACCCGATTCATGAGGAATTATAAATACTTTGGAAGTGCTCTAAACTAACACAAGCATATGGTTTGCGAGTCATGCCGAGTGAGAGTCAAGAGGGTAACAAAATTCCAGTCGCTTTTTGTTCAAATTTTCTACTTTCGATTCCCCATTTACTGCTAGCAGCAGGGTACCATTTTGAAGTCCTTGTCTCAAAGAAATTAGGGACCTTAAGATGTGAGGACGGCAACGGCAGGTAAAACGGCGCTTAAAAAGTGAATTCGCAGTTTTCAATCTTCATCGCGATTTTTCCATCTCGCTTACTTTGTCGAAAGTACGCTACTCCTCCTGAAGTTGAATTCCTAAGAGCCTTATAACAGTTAAGCCGAGAAAGAGAAGGAAAATTTCGTCGTTGCTTGTTTACGTCTCCTAAAAAACACGAAACTAGGCATTTTCACGTTGTAGTCGTGCAACGACGGCTAAGACCCTGTTTACATGGAGTGGGGGATCCCGGTCTAGTGGGGTAAGTTTCTTTTGTTTTGTGTCCCCCAGAGCGTGAAAACAAAAGAAACCAACCCCACTAGACCGGTGTCCCCCACTCCATGTAAACAGGCCCTAAGAAATGTAGAAAAAAGCGTGATGGCACGTGCATAGTTGTTGTTTTACTTTAATTAAACCAATTGCTTTTTGGCCGTTCTCATTGTCGTCGCCGTTGCCGGATCTTAAGGTCCCTAATAACTTATAATGACAGAAGACCTCAGTTGCCGAAATGAAAACCATCATGCATCGAACAAACGTTAAAAGTTAGTGTTGCTTCAGAATTTTTACTCTAATTTGAAAAAGTGATCCCTCTTTCATCACTGTGACACCACTCCTACTCTCCTCAAGATAAGAATAATGATGATGGTCTACTCGCTGCCCCGAAAAAAACGTTAATTATTTTTAATTATCTTTTCTTATCACCCTTGCAACAATACTCCTACAAAAGTGCCGCTAGGGATAAACAATATCTATCAATCCGACCATAATCATATTTATTATATAATAATTCATACTGATATCAGCAATCTAAATCTTTTCTTCTTTTTACATTTTGTCAGATATTTGTGATCCTGGCTGGAACTATTTCAACGGCTTTTGCTATTTCACAAGTAAGACTTGTCAAAATTGGACCACATCACTGGATAAATGCCGACAAGAAAACTCAGTTCTTATTGATGTCCAAAACAATGAAGAAAATGTGTTTTTACAGCATCTTCACAATGGAGCAAAATCCTGGCTGGGATTGAATGACATTTTCACAGAGGGCTCCTTTACTTGGGCAGATCGTGGTACTGGGAACTTTACAGCTTGGGCCAAAAACCAACCCAACAATTTTCGAGATGAAGACTGTGTACATACACTTGGTGTTGCATACAAATACGAATGGAATGACGTGAAATGCAGTGGCTGTCATCAGTATACTTGCAAGAAAGGTATAGTTTTTAATGTATGCTTACGTGTAAGGTTATGGTCATAAAAAGAGATTATTATCTCTGAAAAATTACATGATTAAATGATATCATGTCATTAAACAGAGGCAAACAAAAGAGTTGAAAAAAAATAATTAAGTGATGCAATGAGAGAACTGATGGATATGTTGCGGTGGGTCATCCTTGGTGTTAAAACCTGTGAAGTTTTCTTTGTTTTCTATATTGTAGCTACTAGTTATAGTTATCGCTAAGTGCCAACGAGCAAAGCTTTTACTTATTGTTGGTTTTCACATGACATCACTAAAATTGAAACTAAAAAACTATCGATCCTACCGTGATTTTGCTTTCACGATGAATTAGAGCAGCTGAAAACTAATTTTCATACAAATTTTCGCTTCAAAAGGGTTCTTGATTTTGTGATAGAGTACGCTTAAGTTTCTAAGCTTTTGCGGGACGCGGCATTTACATGAAGGCCAAGAGAGCTGTTATATAGGTTAAAAAATGATTTATTTCAAGACATTTTGCTATCTAAACAGTTCATGTATTAGAAAAAGTATTACTTTAATGAATGAGTTTCTCGAAGAAAAAATTCGCGCTTCCGTAGCAAAACTCGGTAACAGATGTTTCTGTTGGTTTCCCGGGGTGGGGATGTGCCGCTGGGACCGTGGAACCCTTGACCTATACCAGAGCTAGGTTAGCTGAATTTTGCTACCCTATACTAGAGTAAACTCCCAAAATCCCCCTATCCTAGAGTAGCTGTTTACCTAGTCTAGATAAAATCTTCAACCAACTGATCAGTTTCGTGAAAAATGATACCCTATTCTAGACCCAAACGCTCTGATTTATATACCCTATCCTAGAGTAAACTGCTTGAAAACCATACCCTTCACAGCGGCACATACCCATATAGCCCATATATGGCAGTACCCCCCCGGGGTTGGTTTCCGTCCGCCATGTTGGAGCTCATCCAGGTGGACACCAGCAAGGCGTCTCTATACTATTTAAGTCTCTATAAGTTTGGGTAAAACATTTCTTCGGATATCTCGAGCTCGTATACGAAATATTCCTCTGACCTGAATCTTGGCGAGGGTCTCTGTATATGTACGTCCTTTCATTTCGCAGATCTGGACTTTATCTATTGAACGGTTTTGATTTTTATCTTGATCTATTTTGAATGGCGTGACACTTAAAACCAGCAATACGCGCGCACTGTTCAGTGTTTTTAGAAATGTCATGAATTACAGTAATTTATAAAAAATAGATTGAACTTAATTCGATCGCATAAGCGAAAATTACCTTGAGACGGGTGCGACCTTAAAGCAAGGGGCACTCATATACCATCCTACTGCCAGGCGAGTACCTCACGCATGAGTACAGTCCTATCACTATAATAATTACTGATCCTCATAAAATTCTATTGTTCTCTCTCTTCATCAAATCAACGATTGCAGTCTTAAAGATGCCAAAACAACTGTCTGTGGAAAATGGGAGCGGTCCTTTTGTCAGTAGGGAAATTTTCAGGGGGAATATATACTAAACGCGCTAAATAAAACAGCCTACAATATTTTTAATATTGCAGCCTGTTTTAGAAAATTTAATGTATGTGTACATTGCACTATACTTGGTTGAATGAACACGAAGGATGCACACAGGACTCACAAGCACTCACACGACTCGTGGATTCTCTGTTCTGTACTATCACGTGTTCCCTCGACAACAATGCATTCTCTGTTCTGCATTACGTCGTAAATGTTGCCTTACATTACTATATGTTACATCGATTCGAGTTTTTTTCTGCCCCTGGAACAGTATCTCGCACGGCCCTATTAGGCTTGCGCCTCTCAGCCTCGCGTCTTCGCGAGGATGCTTGTTTAAGGAATATTTCCCTTGGCTCTATTATGTTGACTTGTCAGGGGCTTCTTTGTATTAATTGTTTTACGTCACTCGTGAGTTTCACAGGTTTTTACACCGTGGAATATGACCCGCTGTAGTTCAATTTTGTCCTTGGTTTAAATTTTATTTCCCTTTTTTCAAATTCATTATCATACCTGAATAACATACCCCAAAAGAAAAGAAAAGAAATTTAAACCATAGATGAAATTGAACGACAACTGAAACAAATGAGTAAATGACAAGCTTATGAACAATTTCTAATTATAATTCAAAATTCTTATATTTATTAGATTAAACGCCGGGGCGTTTGTTAAATTTTTCGTTATTCGAGTGCGGCGTTTATTTAATATTCATTTATTTCTTGAAAACAATAGTATGGTAACTGAGCATTAAAACTTTAAAAACAGAAACATGTTTTACTGCTTGTCTAACTAAAGTCATTATCTATATCTTTCTCAATTTCACAATTTGCATGTTAATATACTACTGGAATACATAAAGTGAATAAAGTTAATTATATTCCTTTGAGCTTCGCATGTACTGATCTTAAAGCATTGTTACAATCAAAGAAAATGTTTTCATCAGGCTTGCTCAAACATGATTATTACTGCATGTATTTACTTTTTGAGTCTATTATTGGAATAAACACCGCATCATGACGTGGCGTTTATTCGAGGGCGGTGTTTAATCGAAAAAATACGGTAATTAAAGAAATGATAGCTGCTGTAATTGCAGTAACTAAACATTATCTTTCGTACATTACAGATCTGAATGAGTGCAGCAGGGACAAATATTATTGCCATCGTTTTGCCACCTGTTCGAATAATCGTGGTTCCTTCACTTGCACTTGTAACGTTCAACAAGGTTTTATCGGGGATGGCTTTGAGTGCAACTTAAATTATGCAAGTAAGTGATCTTATGCAAAGAATTAATTTTACAATGCCGAAGTTTTAAGATCACGAGAAGGGAAATTTTGTAGCATTTTCAACCACCGAGAAAAGGGTTTGAAAACAAGGACAGGAAATTTTTTGTAAAATTTTTAACTATTAATCTGTAATATAAGAAACCAGTTTTAAGTTTGCATGCCTTCTGTTACAAGCTGATTTTATATGACAAATGAAGGGGTGTTCGAGCAACTCGCTCCCTTGACTTAGAAGTACCAGGTATCTGGGCCCAGTTGTTCGAAGGCCGATTAGCGCTTAACCCAGGGTTAAATTTAACCCGGGTTTCTATTTCTTTTGTTCAAAAGCATTTTAATGTCTCGGATAATTTTCTCTGTTATTTTTAAGAGCATCCAATCATCAACTTGTTTACAAAAAGAATAAAACTGAAATTACTCTCTAAGCTTTTATTTCTGAATTCAAATTTCGCACTGATCCTGAGTTATCTTAACTCAGCTTGAACAACTCGGCCCTGATTTTTATTAGCTTACATTTTGGGATTCTTTATTTTTCGCATCAGCTCGATCATATGTTTTCTTCTACAGCATCACTTTCCGACTGCTGCTGAACATAACTACAACATAACCGCACTCCACTCTAACTGCGCAAATATTGCGAAAAAGGCTTAATAAATAACTTAACGTTCGAGCTTGCTGACAATGAGAGTAACCGTTACTCTCGAACGCACTTTCCTAATGAGTTTAGGGATTTCCTGTTGATCACCAAGGTGGAAAAAGTAAACCTATAAGGTATGATAATGACATGAGCAAGAAACCAATGAAAGCTTGACAGCTGATACCACCGGGCTCTACCGTAAACCAAAACAGGAACTCTGATGTAGGTAACAATCACGGTCAGCGATAATCCCTAAACGTGCCCAATTCAGGGGCTGACACTCAAATTTTAATATATGACAATTATGTTGAAAAACTACTAAGAAAGGAAAATAATGGAATTGAAAACCTGTCGATACAAAATATGGATGAAACTTGATCTACAAACCTGATCATAACCAGACTCTATAAGGTACGAGTGTAACGTCAAGTGCAAACATGAAATAAACTAAAATAACCCACAAAATACGGCTTCACAACAGAAAATGGGACATAGCAGTACAGCTGTACCTCTTACTTTTCCCTTTTGTCGAGAATTTTTCCGGTACCTTAAGTAAACAAGTGTTGGGACCCGAGGAGACCATACATCGTGCGTCTCAGTAAAATCTTGAAAACTGGAATAGTAAGTGACAAGAAATAATTACTCTCGACATATCATAAAGAACGTAAATGCAACCTCACCTGAGAAACAGGTTCTGAAAGGTAATTAAAGCAAAGCCTCCGTGAAGTTCCCAAAACTCCTGGCCGTTATGCGATGCTTTCCTCATGCCAACCAAAAATAAATAAACAAACCATCAAACAAGATCTGAACAGCAAAAGAATTTTGATACCTTTGTCTTTACTTGTAATCTCTCGATAAGCGTTGTTTATATTATTTTGGGGTGGTTTTTGATCGTCAAAGGGACATTACAAGTTTGGTTTGAAAGGACTCAATGATTTCAGCTATTTCAGCTCTGTTTAGGAACAACCTGTTAACTTAGAAAAGATGCATGAGAAACAAGTAAGGGTAATCTGAGTGAGCAATCTCAGACTCTTGTAAAGTGATTCAAATTTTGGTGCAAGTTTACAACAAAAATGATCAGTCATTCGGACCAGCTTTCGAGTTCTAGTATGCCCCGCTATGGTAAATTACGCCAAAGTTAACGATAGTTATGGTAATAAAATAATATTAGGAATAACTAAATCCTCAATTTGTGTTATATGCTGTTCTTTGGCATCTTATTCAGCTGCATGCCCTGTTGGAATGGTGGAACAATTTTGGACCAACTCCCCTCCTACTGTCGATGTTTTTTCCTCATAATTTACATGTTCTGGGTGTGGTGTTGCAGAGGGTGTGATTGCCAAATCCCTGCTGCAAAAGACTGAAAAGACACCGAAACTGAATGCATACATGAAACCATAAGCAGTCCTGGAGATATCCATTTCAGGATATAAGTAACGTGCGTTGTGATTGGTTGAGATCAAAACCAAAACAACGTTAATCTGCCGAGAGCTACTGGAGATGAGTCATGAGTAGAAGTGAAACATTTTTGATTGCCGCCACTTGTAATGCGGCTATCGGCCAAAACGAAATTAAGTAGTTCGAAATCACTCCACGGAAAGGTAGCATAAATAAAATAAGTTATTCAGCAAACGCTCTTGCACTCTGGAAGAGTGGAGCGAATTCTTCACAGTACAAACTCATCATATAAACGTCCTGATCCTCGAACCGAAGCCAAAGAAAATGCTTAAACTACATCGCATCAGATATAAATCCTGTAAGAAACAAAATCATAGATAAATGACAAGAAATAATTTTGAAATCAATATGCCTGAAACAGGTCAGCTTCATGACCTCTCAACGTGAGACCAGCCGCAAAAAGAAAATTCGACTGCCGGTCAAGGTTTTCAAAACACTAAATGACCCGCAGTCTTATATTTTCAGTAAATTTCACAAATCGAAAAAATCCAGCTAAACCCTGAAACTATCATATTTCGCGTGCCTGATCCTGCATGGTTTTTTCGATTTGTGAAATTTACTGAAAATATAGGACTGCCGGTCATGTAGAGCAGTGTTTTGAAAACCTTAAGCGGCAGTCGACCTGAAAAAAAGTTCTAATTCCTATATTTTCAGTAAATTTCACAAATCGAAAAACTACCAGGATCAGGATCTCGACATATGACAGTTTCAGGGTTTAGCTGGATTTTTAGCTGGCGAGGGTGGCTTTGGGCAAATGATGTATCGGTCCCCAGAAAGGTCACCCCAGGACTCCCAGGATGGATTTTTTTTTGCACAGTGCCCAGGCCTCATTTTCTTGGCCGCGCGTTGATCTGGCCCGGCTACTTCGGCGAGGATGTTCTCGGTCTTTTTGCATTATATCCTTCGAATTTGTCAAAGTCTGTGGGATTCGTTTCTCTATCTGGGAAAGCTTCATTGGTTTCTATATCTGCTGCTATCCTATTTCTACGATCCTGGCTTGTTTATTTTCCGTTGGAGTTCGAATTTCGTGGAAAAAGTTGTGTTGAAAGGGAGCATGGCGGCGAAAATGGCATCTCGTGTCTCCTACCTTGTATCATTATTATTGTATATAGAGGGAATTTGAACAAATTATCACGAAGCTTCCTTGGAGCATTAAGGACAACAACAACTAACTGCAGAGTAAGTTTTATTGATCTTTATTCAGTATTTCCTAGAAATTTTAGGATCGTATTTTTACCCTATACAAACACTGTAATTTTACTGGAACCGTACTGTGGTACTATCACAGAGCCTGGGTTACCTGTGCACCAGGCAGAGCAGGAAATCATCACATTCACGGACAATAGTCCAGGTTCGAATTAAAAATTACCGCTGAATACAAACATTAACGACACATTCATACAGGGTTAGCCTCGACGTAAAGTAAAATATTCAGAAATTCTGGCAAGTAAGTGTTTGAAATTTGAATATACACAATAGACAGAGTAATAAACAGGTCTTTTTCTCGTTGGAATTTGTGAACATATTACTTCAGATGGAGGCTAAGGCTGTAAAAAATGAGTCGTGACTTCGTTAAGGTGGCTCGATACAGTTTTTCAGGGCAAATACCTCCCAAGTTTGAGCATAAACTACGTTGCCATAAACAAAGTTTTGGAAAAATTGCCACCGCAGTTGTATTAGATAAAGACGAAAATTTGTTATGATCAGGGTTGCAACGGCATCGGAGTTGTCATAGCAACGAAATGACGCTATTACCTATTTTACTTGTAGCAGTATATCTCGGCACTGGGAACTGTTCTTCCAAAATCGTTCACGGGAGCTTTTTCCTCCAATAGCGGCCTCGATGTTCGTGAAGTTTAAGCGAAATCTGTAAGAGCGTTATCGAGATATTTTGGGATGAAGTTTTTTTGGTTAGAAACAGAGTACAAAAATGGACAATATTGTTGTTTGGCCGTTATCTGTAGAAAATGAAGCGCTTTTTACATGCAATTTCACCTCATAGTAGTTTCAATCTTTTTAAAAACGTGTGTGAAAGATCATGGAGATAGCTCCAGCCTATTGCTAGAAAGAAGGGTTTTATTTGCATGTATCGAAGCGCTCTTGTTAGCGGTTTTGTAAACATTTTGGTGTTCTTTAACAAATTAGCAAATAGTTTTTAAACCGCTCGATAGATTTTTTTAAAAATTTAAGATTCTTGAGATTAACCTTTCCTTTATATGACCTTTTAGTTTCAAGATTATTGATACATTGTAAGGCAGTAAAATAAGGGCTACAATTCGTTACTTTTTTATCGGAAGTTTCGTTATTACCAGTGAAAGCCTCTCATTATTCAAGGCATTGTCTCCAAGTTTCATTTTCACGTGAACAACAGTAACTAACAATGCATTTGACACATGCAAAAATGCTAGCTATTGTTATGCGCGAAAATATGAAACTTGGAGACAATACCCTGAATAATGAGAGGCTCACATTTGTAAACACAAAATCTCTGCCAAAATATTGGCGAATTGTAGCCCTTATTTTACTTCTTTACAATATATCAATAATCTTGAAACTAAAGGGTCATATAAAAGGAAGGTTAATCTCAAAAATCCTAAATTTTTAAAAAAATCTATCGAGCGGTTTAAAAATTATTTGCTAATTTGTTAAAGTAGACCAAAATGTTCAAAAACCGCTAACAAAAACGCCTCGATACATACTAATCAAATCCTTCTTTCTAGCAATCGGCTGGAGGTATCTCCACGGTCTTTCACACACGTTTTTAAAAAGATTGAAACTACTGTGAGGTGAAATTGCATGTCAAAAGCACTTCATTTTCTACAGATAACAGCCGAACATCAAATTATCCATTTTTTACCGTATTTCTAAGCATAAAAAATCTTTATCCCAGAATTTCTCGATAACGCTCTTACAGATTTCGCTTAAACTTCTCGAACATTGAGGCGACTATTGGAGGAAAAAGCTCCTGTAATGATTTTGGAAGAACAGTTCCCAGTGCCGAGAAATAATTGTTTGAGTAAAATAGGTAATAGCGTCATTTCGTTGCTATGACAACTCCGATGTCATTGCAACCCTGATCATAACAAATTTTCATCTTTATCTAATACAACTGCGGTGGCAATTTTTCCAAAACTTTGTTTATGGCGACGTAGTTTATGCTCAAACTTCGGAGGTATTGGCCTTGAAAAACTGTATCGAGCCACCTTAATTCAGCGGTCATGGCGAACTCGAAAATGAACTATTACAAAGAGCAAAGGAAATGACCTGTAAATGTCACACAAACAACAGCAAAGATAAGACTGATTCGCTCAGTTAAAGTTTGGAATCCTCCACAGCTTAATCTACGGATTTTGGATTTAAGAACTAATACAAATTTGCGACACCTTGCAACACGCACAATTCACGAACAAATAAGGCGCGTAATATCGGCGTCATTTTCGATAACACCGTAACGATGTCTTTTCATGTTAACAACATAGTTAAAGTGGTATTCTACCACCTTAGAAATATAGCTGAGATTCGTAAGTATATGAATGTCACAACGGCTGAAGTTCTTGTGAACGCATTCATAAATTCGAAGCTGGATTTCTGCAACTCGCTTTTACATGGTCTTTCCAAGTATGAAATTAACAAACTGCAAAGTGTCCAAAACGCTGCAGCGCGCGTGATTGCCTGCTTACGTAAGTTTGATCACATAAGTGATACTCTAAAAGAGTTGCACTGGCTACCGGTGGAGCAAAGAATAATCTTTAAGATTAATCTTATTTGTTTTAAGATACTCTTCAATTTAGCTCCTGATAATTTGGTTGACCTAATCCCTGTTTTTTTAAGGGCTTTTTCAGTCATTGCCGCTATACCCTGGAACGATTTGCCTATTGACATTAGATCGCTCGATGATGTAAATAAGTTTAAATCTAAATTGAAGACCTTTCTTTTTAAGCGAGTTGACTAACTATCTTAGGTTTTTTATTTTGTATTTTTGTGACCATGTATATATATATGTAAATGATTTTAGGATTTTTATTTTTTATCCAGATCTTTTTGAAGCATTGTAAAGCGCTTAGCACTGAAAAGTATAGGCGCTATATAAATCTTTATTATTGTTATTATTATTATTATTATTATTATTAACAATTCCAAATTAAACGAAACCAAGGATCAGTTTAGAATACGATCCACGAAACGCTCACACATTGAACCAGTAATGGCCCCGAAATTACACACGTCACAGATTTTCAAAGGCCTTACATATGTTTGTTTGAATAACCAACAAGCAAATTTACTTTAGTATCTAGGAGTAATTTTTTCAAAACCAGAAAAAATTATTACACCTGAAATTTGCAAGAATTCAAAGACCACTCCACTCAGAATGCATGAAAATCACAACTGTTTACATCACGTTCGGCAGATCTTTCTCTGCGTTGCAGAGACGCACCCCATCTTTCTTTGTTTCAGATGTTCCTGTGATGGTCCTTTACAAATAACGCGTGGTCTCATGGGATTTGAAAGGAAACAAAATAATGGCGGCGCAAAAGCGTTGCAAATACTGATTTTTCTTTGAAGGTCCAAGATGAAATTATCAGTGACGTCATCATATATCCAGAAATGGATATCTCCCGGACTGATAAGAAAAATGTTAATAAAGATGTTAAATTTCATTGTTTTTCAGTGGATAAAGCCTCAAAAAATGAGGCACTAACTTAAAGTACGAAAAATTGGACACCTGTATACAATTTTAAAGGGACTCATTTTCAAAGTGATCAAAATATCTCGAAACAAAATTACTGAAACAACAAGACATTCCTTGCAAACAAACTAACACAAATTCACCACGACTAACAAATTCGAATTTTAAACTTCAATTGGACATGACAGGCTAAGTTGGCTTAATTCAAACTCGTTCCGACTGTAAGAAAACAAGACAGTCTATTTTCTGCAACTGACTCAACATTGCTTTACTTTCAAGTGCTACTTTTCTTCGTCAACTTTACCCTCGCAAGGCAATTCATTGCATATAGCCCCTACATACATTCAGAATCTAGTTTCTTTGAAATCGCAAAGCAGATATAACTTCAGATCGCCTGGTTGGATGTTTTGTTAGCGTCGCCAACAATGAGAACTAAGGTTCAGCAATAGGCGATGGGTCCTTCTAGGTGGCTGCGCCCAAGTTATCGAATACTTTATAAGACCCACCCTTTAAGATCTGCTTATTGTGAACTGAATGGACCTTTTGCGCCCAACAGTTTAATTTTCTCCGCCAAAAACTATCTCCAGAGTAGCTATTATAAAAACTACGAGCACAGCCATTGCTTTTTTTCTCTTCTCCTCCTTTCCTTCTCCTCGCTGTTTCTTTTTCTCCTTTCCTTTTCCTTCGTTTCTGTAATTTTGGAGCTTCTCGGACTTAAGAAACCTGCCTTTTGACACCTTTTCACTCAAATGACTGCAAATTTCGTTAGGTTGGTTTTCAAAAAATAGGTTACATATATTTCTGTTTCTAATCATATCATTATTTGTTTTCGTATCGTAAATAGATTTTTAATGTTTTTATTACCTGTTAGTGTAAGGCGCATTTAATCATTGTTATCGATACTTGCGCAATCTAAGTGGATAAATTATTAATTAATATTGAATAATAAACAATCTTTAATATTTAAGTATCAGAACAATAAGTAATATTTACAGTTTCAAATTATATCGTCTTGTTTCCAAATTAAAAACTAAATATATGTCCACGATAGAAAACTATTTACAATTGTGAATAATTTAAAAGTGGGAAAAGGAAAATCAAGCATTACTAAGAAAAAACTTTGAAAAAAGAATCTAGGCCTAAAATTATGAGTGCAGATGTAGACCAGCTACAGCGAAAGTGAAGTCTTCTGAGACCTCACGTGATTTGAATGGATATCTAGAACCTCTGACGTATCTGTGTACAGTTCTTAATATAGCAAATGAGAGCTGTATTCGAAGCCAGGAAATAACGCTGGCGTAGTGTTCATTGTTCTTAGTCGAAAGCTTATTTGCGAGAGTTCTTAAAAAGTTTTAACAGTCGAGTCCCATGCCCTCGTTTGATCTCTACATCCATCACTCTCTGGTTGTATTTCCTCTTCTTCTCGTTTTCTTGCTCTTTGAAGACCGTAGCTGTGCACTTGCCCTGGTTGGACCGGGAGTTAACATGAGTTACGCGTACGTCAAAGAATGCCGTTACTCCTGGTGTCCAAAAACCTCCTGCTTTCATATCCAGCCTCGCAGTCTCGACTTGTAACAGTGGACTGAAGGTTGAATATATCATTGTCGAGTGGTTGCAGGAGTGGCTCTGTCTCCACGTTTCTGCACACTTTACTGATGTGTGATGTCAGAAGATCTCGGATTGTATCATGTCTCTGAGCTACAAAACCTCCCTTCTTACATGACAACGCATAGTTGACAGTAAACATTTCTCCACAAGCACAGTAATTAGGGAGTTTCGGCAGAGGGAGGTTGTAGCGAAGGCAAAGGGAGTCCCTAAACTCCTGCTTGTTCAAATCCAGTCCGTGTTCTTCGATTGGAATAGCGTTCAGCCACGAGCTGACTCCCTTGTCCCTTGTCCGCTGCACCGCTTGGAGTACTGGGAGTAGATCAGGAGATCAGGATTCGTCAATCCTGTCAATCCGGGACTTTGCAGCTGCTCTCCTTTTAGCATTGATTTCACACTTCCTTTCCTCCATCAGCTCTCGTGCTGGAATGGTGGAGCTTTGATATTTAATACTGAATTGACCTTTGATATCTAATATTGAATTGACGTTTTTAACTCGTTTAGGAATTTAAAATAGCATTCATTGAAGTAGACTCAGGTTGACTTGGTACTGTTGTAGTTCTGAAAAATGTGTATCTATATTAACGATTTTGAGAACAACGCAAGAAAATAAAATTTTAAAGTGTCCTTCTTTGTTCTTGAAGCCGTCATGTTTTTTTTTTAGGCCTCGGATAAAGGCAACTTCCGGTCTTAGGCTGTTTCCTAAATCTGGCTAAATTAAATGGCTCTCTACATCACTATTGCTTATTTTTTTGTTTATATCTCGTAGGAGGATTGACAGGCTCTGCTATTGTGGGAAATGATGTTAGCTACTTAACATATTTAAGCACTTTGCTCAAACCAGTCTCGAGCAAATCGTCACGATGGAGGCACTGTTGGCGTGCGTCCGTGGACGGCTGGGCTGCCAGTACTTTTCATGGCCGATGCGACTATAAAGGACCAACTGTCACAATAATAAGAGTCGGGGGGAAGTACATATTTGGAGGGTATACCAGCCACTCTTGGGGTAAGTGGAAGGATTTTCTAAACCTGAGCGTGATAGCATGTAAAATTGTGTAAGGAAGAATTTGTAATGAATGTTTTTTATATTCATTTACTTCTCTTTTTGCAATCACTTTCGTTACGGCTTGCCATCAGACATTTGTGAATCATTAGGAGCTTAAGCAACCACGACGGGGAGGCCAGCGAAAACATCACTTAGGGCCTGATTACATGGAGGTGGGCAGGTGGGATAAAAAAAAATAACCATCATTTACATGCAATCTTACAACCCCACTATCCCGGGGTGCACTTTCTCAAAAATATTGAATGGTCGCTAAGCATGGCTGGCAAACCACGTGTTTTAGCGATTAATGCACTTCTACACTCACTTGCTGCACTTACTGCAACCTTCAGTGCTGTGGCTTTCTATTGTTACCTTTATGATGCAAAGCCACCGTAAAAGTGAATTTTGCGCGAATTTGATGTATCACGAATCCGACCGCCGGCTTGAAGGGTCACTTCACCTATCATGTAAACGTGATCAAATTAAAATTAGAGATTATATGGACAGGCAGGTTACCCCAAGTAAGTGGGCCATTACCACACCAACCTGGGACCCCCCACCTCCTTGTAAACAGGCCCTTAAAAATTGCATTCACGCTGCGTTTCAAACTTTATTCCTAAATCGCCCTTATTCCATCTCGTACAGTTTGCCAGATGCTGGCGAAGTTCTTTTTTCGGGTGTTAGATTCCAAAGGTCCCTGTCAAAGTTTAGAAAAAGAAATAAAAATCGTTGTCCTATGTTCAGGTACTCCATAGAACGTGAAATTAGGGCGTTTCACGTCGTAGTCGTGCAACGTCATGGTAAATAATTTACGTTTCGACTCGTTGCGGTAGCTGTCATCGTTGACGGCCTTGACGGACAACCATCAATTAAAATAAATATAGGAAGGAGGGGGACGGAATTTTTTTATGGTCAGTTTTTTTAATGCCCGGCATTTCTCTTTTTATCCTTTTTTTGTCCATTAAAACGTAATGCACAACTTTTTTTTTTCTTGTTGCCACAAATTTGGAATATAGAGGAGGAGAAAGACCGAGAAAAAGAGAAAGTAGGAGGCAGGCCAGCGAAACGCAACGAGAAAAAAGGCGACAGAGGTCCGGAGCGAGAGATAACAAACAGAGGAGACATTTTTTTGTTGGAAGAACAACATGAAAATTTTGTAGCGGCGGTAACAAAATGGGAAATGCTAGTGGCCACCAATGCAAGGTGAAAATGAGCGGCAGTGAAAAAAAGAAGTGAACTTAAACACGAACGACATTTCCTCCATAAAACGTGTAACTAAGACGTTTCTGGAAGTTTCACGTTGTACTGGTGCAAAACAGTGGCAAAGAATGTACAAAAAAAGTGTGCTGCACGGGCAAAGTTGCTATTTTTGCTAATTAGTCCGATTGTTGTTTTTCACCGTTCTTCGGCGTTGCCTTCCCGCTTAGTATTACACGATTTTATATTTGGTTTGAACAAGCTATAAATATTATCGAGAGCTTCGCTTTCAGACCCTGGCTAAATCGATATACTATTTATATTTACCACTAAAACTCTAGAAGGAAATAACAACGGACAATTTTAACAAAGGTCACACGAAGGGTTCACGCTTTCCCTTCAGTGAAAACTTATTTTCAAAACTGTGACAGTTTGTCCTGCGACTTGCTAAGGGAAGATGCAAAAAACTGGACAAAAATTGCAAATACAAATTCCAACCCTTGAGTTTGGTTCGTCAAAATGTAAATGACTTAAGTTCATTTATTTTAAACACTAGTATACCTAAAGGGTAGAAATGCTGCCGTAGGCAAGGAATAGTGAAGAAATGGAAAATTAAGTGTGAAGTGTTTAGTAGAAGGTGATATGAGGCTAAGAGGGCTATCCAAAATCTTTGTGACATAAATTTAGAAATTATCTTCCTTTTGATCGCGTTCATGACTAACTTAATTATGAGCGAGTTTTAGTATTTTTCTAACGGGCTCGCGTCGCGTCAGAATTCGATTTTTGATATGTATAAGTTTAATCATTCTCACTTTCAACTGAATGACTGAAATTTATTTTGAAGCTTTGATTTGGCGATACGAGCAAATTATTTTCTAACTATGGTGTTCAGTCTTTCTGTTCGCACAAAAATCGAGCAATTTCCACGAAACTTAAAATTCTTGAGTTTACGACTGTTTATTTCATCTGGCAAATTTAACGAAATTTGTTCGACTGTGATCTGAGCTGCAAGATAGGTTTGAGAAACGACAATGAAAACACAACAATAACTTGGCCAACCATATGCATTTCACGAATCAAACACCAATTTAAACAATTTTGGAGGGCAGTTATGTTCAATTTTTGATAAATATGATACATAAATTTGGGGCTCGTAGTTCTAATGCTGCTTGTGTGATTCCCTCTTAGAACAGAAGGAAATTTGCTTGGAAAATAATAAAGACTGCGGCTATATGGCTGGTAACCGGTCAAGATTTTAAAAACACTAAATGACCGGCAGTCCGATGTTTTTTTCAATAATTTTGACAAATCGAAGAATCCCAGCCAGACCAAACCATCATACGTCGATTTAGAATAGACTTAGAGACTTAGTTTCTGATCAACAAATGTTGTCAAAGTGTAAGTCCCTTCAATTTCTCTGCAACTTGATGATTTTATTCAACTATTGTAGCGTAAGCCCCAACCGAAGATAGAAGCTAACCGTCAACCCTATTCACTTTTCTCAGGGTTTAACCCTAATCAGTATGGTTAGTGCTTAAATTAGTATTCTCAGTGCTTAACCCTAATCACTATAGTCAAAATATCGGACTTATAAAATATTGCATTCTGTGAAAATATGCTTGAAAGATATTAAACGGCTGCTTGCTCTAGTGATGCTTTTTTTTTGTCCATATGCTACGCTATTTTGCTGGTCTTAGCGTGTTCTTGAAATTAGTCTTGAAATTTCAAGGTGTTGCAGTGAATCAATCTCAATGAAATTTTCAGAAATTATTGTATGCATCGTGAAGATTATTTGATGAGGTTTAAAAAGAATTCTGTCGAGCCGTTCTATACAGAGATACAGAAAAGCGCTAAAAGTCAAAATTTAGAAGAAAGTTGCACTTAAAGAGGTGGTGAGATAACGGGTTGGTTTTCAGGATGGCAAGAAAGAAAATACGCCAAAATTTCCAAACAGCAAAATATGATATTAAAAAACTTTCTGATGCTACTTAATACATAACGCGCTAAGACAAGACTATTTTCAATAGTCGGGATAAATTGTTTAATAAAAAAGTTGTAAATAAGTTATTTACAACTTTTTTTATTGAACAATTAATCCCGACTATTGAAAATATAAGGTTTGTAATTTACGTTTTATTTGAAGTCAAATATACCAAATTTTTTATTTCTTACGGAGATTATTTCCTAAACACCACAAGTTCCTGGTGTCGGATTTTCAGTAGCGAGCCTAAATTGCTGAAAATTCGGCTATTATGGATTTCTTTTTTTTGTCTATTGTTTTCATGGAGTAAAATTGATATCACCATGACAACAATAGACAAAGTCAGTAAGTGTTGAAAATTTCATAGCCATCAGACAAGGATAAAACGACCTTTAAGGCGACTGAAAAATATCGGTACGGGCGAAAAAAACTGTATCGAAACACTTTGAGTGAAACCCCATACAGGGGACCCAAAATTTGGTCCGGGAAAGACGTCCACATGATCTTTATATCTGTTACCTTTATTGTTTTCTTGGTTCTGAAACCTGGGTTTAACCTCCATTCAGGGGACACCTTAGCACTCAAAACGTGACTGACCACAAAGAAGGTTGATATCTTTAAGTGTACACTAATGACTGATGATGGCAGCTTTCACAAACTGAACTATCTCACTTGTATCGATATACTGCACCTGTGTGAATTCAACATATAAAGTCGCATAGATAAGTTAATGACGATTTTTTTTGTATTGTCTTTGTTGATTAATTATTAACAGACCTCAACCCAACCTCTATTCAAGGGACACTTGCAAACAAAGAGAAACATTTCTTCGAGTCAAATTTTCCTTTCCTGCAGGCGTTCCTCAGGCAGGTCAGATTTGTTAAAAAAAAAGGCCAAAGCGGGATATCTTTTCTGAGGGTTTTACCGTAATTAATATGCATCAACTCTTTTTTCACTCAATTTTTCTTTGCGCAATTATTTCATGTGCTTATTCGCCCCCATCCCCCCAAAAAAAAAAAGAACACCGTTCAGTAGCGTTTTGAAGTTACAATAGCTAGGATTACGCGCTGTGAATTTCTGTAAAAAATCACAAGATTCGAAAGGCAAAGACGGCAGGGGGTAATTCGGAAGTTGCAGATTGTAACCTCAATGTACCGATAACTGCAATTCATCGCTCTGTTCAATATTTTTTGCGTCTTAGCCTTTTAAATAAGAAGTAGTTTCTTCCTTCCAAAAGTAAATACTTAAGTAAGAATAAAATTAGTATTAAAATCACACTTTTCATCGATCTTTGCTAAGGAACTTAAACTACTATTATTAGTTATCAGTATATTTTCTTATCTGTATGAATTCGAATTTTTGAATGAAATCTGTGCATTGGTCATCTTTTTCATTTTTTATTTTCCCAACAGGTTACAGTGGCTGCCAGTATCATTATGATTCCCAGGCATTCCTTTTCTCGCTGGTGAACAAGCCAGGATGGGCACCTGTGAAACTGCCTCAGACAGGGAAGTATAGTTATCACCGCTATTCAATATACGACTGCTCGTCTTATGGACCTACTTTCGGTGGAGGCAATGACATTAAGATTGTCGACTACGCATCATCCAGTAGCAGTTCCTATACCAACCTTGACCATGATTACACCGCACCAAGTGGGTACAGCTTTGGAAGCACCTTCACCAAGACATTTCTGGCAGGCACTTTTCGCTTTACTCCAGACGAAGTAGAAACATTTTACGAAACAACCTAAAACCTGACACATCGTATTTAGCTCCAAACTTGACAGTCACTTAATATTACACTGATTAAGCCAGGATAATATTTATAAACCAGGCAATGAAAAAAGAAATATATTTTAATTTGTCAGCTCAATATTGAGACCTTTATGTTACAGTATAAAACTTGTACCACCTTATATTTTTATTAAACTGATCTTTAATATAACCAAATGTTCTTTATTTATTTCTTTTCAAACATTTCTCCTCGTCTGATTTGCAAACTTTACACCTGTTGCGTTTTTTATATTGAGCTGTCTAGTCAAATTTGGCATTTTAAGCCTACATTATTTTGCATATTTCGTTTTATCTCTTACCTGGTTTTCTTGATCACGAAAGACTATTTAATTGATATTTGGTAACCACTGGTGTGAGCGCTAGGTGAATATGATCATATCCCCCTACTGTGGTGCTACGGCTGAAACTCATGTAACTCGAAGAATTTTTAAGAAAGGCTTATGCGCATGGGATTAGTTATCTGAGCAAAGAAGAAATTCATTTTGGCAAATCCTAATTAAAGAATTATAGTTCAATATAGACCTGCATTAACAGCACCGTAGACCGATAGACTATAGGTCAAATCAGGTATAACGATTTTGAAACAGATGGTATAATTCTGTCTGAATATCACCCTCCTTCCTTAACGATCTCAGTATAAAAAGACATTTGTTACCTTTAATTGGCTTATGCATGTGTAGTAAATCGGCAATCTTCTTGGAAAGTAACAACACTAATGGAGAGGGCTCTGCTTTGCGAAATACCTGACAAGAGAAGAAAAACCTGTGTACAAGGCATTTTTTTCTTAGAAATAGAAGTTGAACAATTTTTGATGTCCGCCATTTGTAATGCGGCAATCAGCCGAAACAGAATTAAGTACTCAAAAAACACTACAAGGAAAGATAGCATCAAATACAATTCATTCATTTCAGCGTACATAGCCTGCGTGGTAGGCATAAAAAAGGGAGGGGGAGAGGGGAGGGAGAAAAGCGCCAAAGGGAAAAAGGAAGGAAGCGCCGTCTCCTCCCTCTCTCCCCAATCCCCCTCCCTTTTTCCCTTCCTCCCTATCCCCTACCCCTTTCGACACCTGCTACGCAGGCCACAACATACACCGAGTCAGGTACTTTCGCCGACTCTGGAAGAATGGAGCAGATTCTTTCCAAAACAGGTTCATCATATAAACTTCCCACTCCAGGTCCCCCACACAGAGCAAAAGAAAACTGAGGTAAAACAGCATCTCATCAGAGGCAAATTCCTGTCAAACCCAATAAAACCAAAAAGTAATTGATCATTGAAACAGGTCAACTTCATAACGTCTCAATGTGTAGCCTGAATTTCAGCCGTCTCCTCGAGTGGCAAACATCCTAGATAGACGCCTGAAAGGACTGGTTGCATTGTTAAAGCCGTCCAGTGAGCGGTGAAGAGGGGCACAAAGTGCCGAGAAAAAAGTCTCTTTATTAGACGCTACATTACCTTCTGCAGTTTTCCGGAGCTCTAGATAATTTTGCCAGGTTTGTAACAAGTTCACGTGAGGGTTTGATTGGTCAAGTTCATACACTTCGATTCTCAGTAAAAAGTAAGGCGATTTGCACCTCCAACTGCAAAATTTGACGGCAATCAAGGCCACAAGTAACTCCTCTGCGCTCTTTGTTTCTTCTGGTAATCGTGTGAGGAATTTTCATTTCATTTCATTTTTTATTCCTCCAATTCCTAGCTGATACATAGTTATGTAAATATAGCTGAGAAAAATAATAAGTAAGAGATAAAGATTTACAAAGGAAATAAACGCGTAAAATAGAAATTACAACACTTAAATTGAATTACATTGTATATTGGAAGGAGAGGAGAGGGGCACATCTAGATAAACTAATATTGTGCCCCTTAAAGTTATGTATAACAAAGGACTTAAGATTATTAATAAAAAAGGAAAGGAAAAAAATGACAAAATAGCTCAGAAAGTTATAGAAGGGATATTGATTCATTAGTATTGAGCCAGGTACCAGCGCAAAAGTGCTTTTTTAAACATTTTTTTAGATGGTTTGTCTCTAATGGATTGCGGAATATCGTTCCAAAAGAAACTTCCAATAATGCTGGGGCAAAATCTCCTAAGATTAGTTCGAAATAAAGGTATTGCAACTTGATTGGATGATGCACTGCGGGTACTGTAATTATGTAGTTCAGATACTAATGAAACAGGTATATTAGGAAACTTTTCATGGTGGAAATAATCATAAAAAAGCATACATGTGTTCAGTTTAACAATATCAGGAAATTTCAGAAGGCCTAAGGATGTGTAGTGTGGAGTTATTGATTCCATTAAAGGAACATCATTTATAACACGAACCGCTTTGTTTTGTAACTTTACGATTTGAGACAATGGAGCGTTATAATTATTTCCCCAAAGTGTACAAGCATAAGTAAGGTAAGGATAAATAAGAGAATAATACACACTAATAAGTGTTGCTTTTGATACATAATGCTTCAACTTAACCATTATATTTATATTTTTGCTAATTTTGCCACATATGTAATCAATATGGTCATGCCAAGTAAGGTGACAATCAATATACACACCAATAAATATTTTACACAAAAGGACTTCTCTAGATGAACATTTGCTACGGTTAGTGGTGGGTAAAGATTGTAGCTTTCCTTTTGACGAGGCATAAAGATAAGAAACTTAGTTTTTGTCAAATTTAAGGTCAATTTGTTACTGCATAACCATTCGTAGACAGCTGGTAAATGATTGTTAATTTCACGTAATAAACTGTCAAGATCACTTCCAGAAGATGTTAGAGATGTATCGTCTGCATATAATCTGGTAGAAAAAAAGGTGGAAGACTTTGGAAGGTCATTAATGAAAATAATAAACAGCAAAGGTCCTAGTATCGATCCTTGAGGCACACCAGTGGAGATAAAACGTGTATCGGAAGCAACACCATTTGCATGCACCTGCTGTTTCCTATTATTTAAGTAGGATTGAAACCAGTTGTATTCACTTTGTTGTAATCCGTAGTACTTAAGTTTATTTAGTAATATTTGATGGTTTACTGTATCGAATGCTTTACTTAAATCTAAGAATAAAGAAACCACGTAAAGTCCTTTATCAAGAGAGGAGGTTATTTCTTCAATAAGGTCAATCAGACAATCAGAGGTTGTAAAACCTGGTCTAAATCCATATTGTTTTGGGGAAATCATATTATTATTCGTAAAATAGAACATCAGCTGATTAAAAATACATCTCTCAAATATTTTACTTATGGAAGAGAGAACTGAGATAGGTCGATAATTACTACATACAAAACGAGAGCCTTGTTTAAAAATTGGAACAACTTTAGCAAGTTTCATACTATCAGGAAAAATACCTTTGTTGATGGAAAGATTAAAAATAAATGTTAAAGGACGGTATATTTGAAGTGCTGCAGTTTTTAATAATAGAGGATGAATCTTGTCAATCCCAAACGACTTGTTTGTGTCAAGACTTTCTAGTAATAAGAATACCTCTATTTCAGAGACTTGTGCAAAGCGAAATTGTTTTCGTTTCTGAGAAAGATAAGAGGTTGCACTCTTATGAGATTTAGGCAGTTGTGCTGCTAGTGTAGAAGGGACATTACAAAAAAAATCGTTAAGGCAGTTGGAGATAGTTAAAGGTTGTTCATATTGTTTATTATCCACTTGTAGTTTTTCTATGTGAGAACTTGGCCGCTTCTTATTTATCAATAAATTGATGTTATCCCACATCTTTTTCGTGTTATCTGATTTGATTAATATGTCATTATAAAAGCAGTCACGATATATCTTATTAATGGTAGCAATTTTATTGCGATATAGTTTATATTTGTTTAGGAAAACATAATTTCGAGTAATAAGCCATTTGTTGTATAATTTATCTCTAACTTTCATAGATTTCTTTAAACCAGAAGTAATCCACGGTTTATATGCTTTGTGTTTAATCTTGGCTTTCTTAATTGGTGCATGTATATTACTTACTTTATTGAAAATATGGAGGAACCTGGTATAACTTTCATTTACCTCATTGCATTTGTAAATAGAATCCCAGCTCTCTCTTCGTAGATCTAATTTGAAATTTTCATCTTCAAAACTCCGAAAGTCTCTGAATTCGAAATAATCAGGAAAAGGACTAAATTTCGGGTCATACAAAATAGTAAAGACCGGTAGATGATCCGCAATCTCAACTGCGAGGCTGCCACTTGAGCAGGAAGTCGAAATATTTGTTAAGATATGATCAATGCAGCTTTGTGAATTTTCTGTAATACGTGTTGCTTCAAAGATCAGCTGACTGAATCCTTCTGATTGTATTAAATTAATATATTCCTTAGAGACACTTGTTTTTGTAAGAGTATTTATAGCGGAGCTCTCGCGCGCGAAGCGCGCCAGCGGAGCACCATGGGTAATAAAATCTGGTAAACTATCCATCCGATAAAATTTGGTTATGACGTAGCGTACGCCCGCCCGCCCGCCCGCCCGCCCGCCCGCCCACCCGTCCACCCACTTCATGTAAGCCGATGTCAAGTGTCACACTTGTCAGGACCGTGAAATAAATAACAACGGAGACTAATGCCGCTGGAAGAAAAACATGAAAATTATATAGCGGCGGTTAGAAAATGAAGAATGCTAGCGGTTACTAATGTGAAAAAGCAGCGGCAGTGAAAAAATAGAATGAACAGGAACACAAACATTTTCTCCATAAAACGCGTAAATAGGAAGCTAAAAGAAGTTTCACGTTAGTCGTGTAAAACAACGGTAAGGAAATGTACCAAAAAAAAACTGCTGCACGTGCAGAGTTGTTTTTTTGCTAATTAGAAAAAAAGTGTGCTGCACGTGCAAAGTTGTTTTTTTGCTAATTAGATCTATTGTTGTTGTTTTTAGCGTTTTCGTTGCTTTCAAATTGTCTTTAGTATTCATCGATTTTATATTTTCTTTGAGGAATGAATAAATATTAAAGAGAGCTTCGCTTTTAGCCCTGGCTAAATCTATATATTATTAGTATCCCCCATTAAAATGCATTTTTTCTTAGAGAGAAAAACATTATGTAGAGTTCTTTCGAGTTTGTCTAAAAATTCTGGGTTTGAAAAATTTGGGGGTTTATAAATGACACCCACAATCATATCATTAGTTTCTATCCATAGGTTTTCAATTGAGTCTATTTTGAGGTCATTTCTAATTGAGAAAGAATAGCCTGATCTGACATACAAAGCAACACCGCCACCTGTCGAAAAGATGCGATTTTCATTGAGTAAAGTGTAACCTGGGATTTCAGTTTCAGAGGTGAACAATGTCTCGGAGCAACCGATAAAATCAAACTTACATGAAATCGAATCCAGAAGATTGCACATTTGTTCGAAATGTTGTTTTAAACTTCTTGTATTTAAGTGAATAACAGAGTATTGAGGTTTGACAGTACGAGACAACTCGTTAATTTCTTCAACTGTGTAAATCCCATGATCATTTAGCAATTGTAAATTTAAATCAGGGTCAGAGGACTCTTGGGTCATTTGCATAAAGTTTTAGCTTGACGAAATTTAAAAGTAAACAAATCAAGATAAATGATAATTATAAAGCTATGTAGACATTTAAGATGGGACTTACACATAAACAAAAGTGTATACTGTTCAAACATCTCAAGCCTGATGTAGCTCACCGTCGATATAAAGCTTGCCATGATGAAATCTAGGTCTTTTCCCAGCTTCAAATGCTTCTTTCATAACAGATCTCAATTGTTTCTTCTTTTGACGGTCTTCCCATATCAAATCATCCGAAACGCGCACACCATCACGTAGATCCCTCTTCTTTTTAATGACTCTAAACCGTTCCGGACGATACAAAAACTTAGCCAAAATTGGTCTGGGAGTGCCATCATCCTTGAAGGGCCCGATCCTGTGAGCGTTCTCGATGTTTGATTGCAATTGGAGATCATTTTCTATGATATCACGGAGCTTTGTTGATTCTGGGATGTTGTAAAATCTCAGATTGTAGTCCCTAGAATATCTCTCCAGGGACAACAATCTCTCGTAGGTGTCATCGATCTCTTTTGCATACTTGGTGATATCGTTCTCGATTTGGTCGATTCTTGTGTTAGTTTCATGCAGTTGTCCAGTTAATACCTCCAGCTTTGTATCCAAAGATTCCTTCAGTTTTGAAATCGAGCTTTCATTTTTCTTGATTTGACCCTGTAGAGATTCAATGTCTCTTTGAATCTTGACTTGAGTTCCTTTCATTTCTTTTAGGTCGTCACTTATTGAACTCAACCGGTGGCGTACAAACGCCTCAAAATCCTCTTCCACAACTTCTTTTTGCTTTCCTCTTTTTGAAGACATTGTTTGTTACTTGTTTGATTAGTTTGTAAAAGAAAAAGTAAGATTTACGTAAGAAATTATGTCAAGCTGGCAGTGCCAACAAAAAACGCGGCCATCATGCTCGCTGACCGCTGACCCGCTGACCCGCTGATAAATAATAGGCCATTTCCGAGTTGCTCCAAGCCTCTGTTTCAAAGCGAAGCCAAGTGCCGGAAGCTAATGATATGAAAACAACTTTTTAATTCTCATGCAAACAAAACATCTTTTGCACAGTAAAAGTTTCGCACTTAGCCCCGTTTTAAAAGTGAGAATTTCTGGAACTCGGAAATAGCCAATTCACCAAGCCAAGAAATCAGTGGGTCCGGTATGTCTCACACGTGCCCTGAATATACACATACGGATTCGTCAAAACATTTACAGCAATCGTGCCATTGGTAAAACAATAGGATTTGTCAAAGAATTAAGCCTTGCGATTCGTACAATTTATACGAATGGTAAGTTCCTCAGTCGATTGGTATGACCATTTTTGGTCAACTGCCCCCTGTATGTCATTAGCGGCTTAGGTGGCTTCAAGATACGCGCAATGACGCGAAGTTAGACTGCATCTCATTACAGGGACACCCAATGACTTGATACTGCAAAATAACTGTTACAAAGCGGCAAATTTATACTACCTCGAAATCTCTAAAGCTCCAGAAAGGCTAAAATTGGATAATTGTTAAACTCGCCTAAGATATGCGGAGTCTTTTTTTTTTTTTTAACCAACTTTCCTACGTTTTTCAGAGATTTTTAACAGTTCATAAGTCTTCTGAAAATTTCGGTATAACAAAACGTCGACGCTTATGAAAGGACTGTTACTCCATGTCCTCGAACTTAGTCTTCCGGACCCATCAGGATAACCATCTAAATTAAAGCGTTCGAGACCGCCAAAGTCCCCTTTTAAGACATCGGAACAGATCAACAGTTTTTGGGGCAGCTTCAAATTAATCAAACAGGCTTCTAAATCAAAGAGAAAACCATCTGAAACAAATCTGACGAATTTAAAAATAAAAATGGTCGTTGGTTGCCCATATGTCATCATTAACACCTGAAAGCCGTGCAAGATCCATCTGTACATGTCGATTGGTACCAAGGGAATGTTACTTTGAAAGAGCTCTAAATGTGTTTGAAAAAATTGTTGAATGTAAGATTACGAGGACTGCAAAACAGTAAAAGCAATCACTTTTTTACGCCTTGGGCTCTGTACCCGGATGATACAGCTTTTCAAAGGTCACTGTAGAGGTTATAGATGAAACTTGTGAAGTTGATTTTGAGCTGAAAACAAAATCATCAATTAACGTTCTAGTCAAATGTTTAGTACATGGATGAAGGTTTTGTCCTGCACATAATCACACCGAAGAGAAAATAAGGGTTGAAAACTGTTTCATCACTTATTTTCCAGACACATGTCAGTCCTTCATCAGTAATAAATTAGCTACCGTGGAACCCCGCTAATGCGACCACCATTGGGTCATAAAATCCAGGTCGCACTAACGAGGTGGTCACATTAACGGGGTTCCACTGTTACGAAATAACTCAGTGATTCTTACGTTTGGGTCGAAAGAATGATGTTCGTGTAAACAAGGTGGTCGTATAGACAGAGTGATCGTAAGGCGAGGTTCCACTATAGTGCTTGCTACTGTGCTGCAACCGATTATATTAAATTATTTTATAGTTTTATAAATTTGTGTATATGTTCAATACGTAATATGCGTCATAAAAGAAGACCTGTTTTGGTTCAGCAAGGATAAAATACTTGACAGATCTTAGCAAGGATTAAGGAGCACAAAATACCCTACACAATTAACCCTTTTGGTTGTGTTCTGATCTTACATGTATACAAGCCAAAAATAACTGACTTCCTTATTTTGACGTGCTTTGCCCCTATTATCCTGTTAACCAACCAAAGAGAGGTTCTGTAAGTCAGGGTGAGTGCTTCTTTCATTTGAGATGTTCATGCCTAGATGAATAAAGGCTTCATCATATTTTTGTGGAGATGCTAACAACGTTGCGGGAGTTTTTTTGACCAGATACACGGTTGGTCTGGCCTGCATGCCGAAACTAGCTGCTAACAACGCTATGTGCCACAGTCATTATGATTTCGTTCTAACAGCTAAGGCCATCCTCTTTTTTTTCTCCTTTTAGCGTCGTCCGACCGACCCAAATTTTCGGCATTAAAAAAAAAAAAGTAACGACGTAGTTAAACCATTTTTCACTTGAAATAATTCTTTTAATCTAAAAAATGAGCATAGTAACAGCAAAGAGAACAACAGGAGCAAAAACATGAACACTTTTTACCGTATATAATTGTGCCTTTTATTAATCCAAATATGTGAATGTTAACTTTTAACTTTTAACGTGGTCCTGGGGTACCAGAGCCTACTATTCCGAGACTTCTTTTGATTTTTTTTTTAGTTTTTTCTTTTCCAATCCGACCGACCGACCCAATATCAGAAAACGCATTCGACGCTTAACGAAAAACTAAGCAAATGGCCTAAAACCTTTATTGGCGTATTCGTTCAGGTCGCTCCAAATTCCTAGTAGTTTTTGCGAAAAGTTCTTTTACTGTTTTCTGGTTAAAAAGCATTTTATTGCATTAGTTAGGAAGCAAATGTGCAATTTTTTTCTTTCCAATTTTATACTGTGAACTTAAATTGACAGTTTTTGTAAATGACGTTTTCTTCCCACATTAATTAAAATAAAATAAGTACCCGGTATGTTTCATTGCCGTGTCAGTTCAATGTTCATTTTTATTTTAAAAAATTGAAATTTTCTTCATATTTTGATTGTCAGTCATAATTTTGCAAGATGTTCTGAAGCTTTTTTTCTTTTCGCGGACAGTAACAGAATGACGGCGCGTAAGTGAAATGTCTGAAAATGGTTTACGTAAAAGATTTTTCGATCATTTTACCGTCAGACACGTCACTTTGCTAGACTGACTTGGCCTTTTTGGAATGGTTGTTACGTTTATAATTTGTAGTTTTAAAATATATCGCACATTTAGCCGTATAAATACACAGCACGCAAAGGGCAGTTTGTGTCGCCGGACTGCAAAATTATATGATTCTTCGTAGGGGAAAATGTTAAACACGTTATCAACCTTCCTGGGTCTTTTCGCCAGAAGAAACAAAAAGTATTAACTGAGTATCAGATATTGTGATGTAGTTTACACGTTAAGGTTCGTCGGGCCGAGTTTGCAAAGAAAGCATACTCTAAACACAAAATCGGCCAAATTTATCATACGGGTAGATTGACCTATATTTAGAAATAAAATGTATTTACATTCGGCGGAGCTAAACGCAGTGGCAGTGACAGAGAATGTAAATACTTTCCTACTGGTATGAACGCACGTGAGCCGTTATGGCGTTAATTGACTCTATTGTTTTGACAGTTGTAATGTATTCATCTCAGCTCTCGAACTATCAACTTTTATTTTTATACCTTACTTTATTCATCTATCGATTGATTCTTTACCTTTAACCCCCAGAGGTTGTGCGACCGCATCGGTTGGGGAATACGTTCCCAATTTTTTCCCATTGGGTTTTCGGGTTTTCGTATCAGGCGGCGCACGTGAATAGTTTAGCCTGAGTGACTTTATTTAGGGATATTTGTATACCATTCTTTAGTTATGATGTTGAACTTTGTATGATATTTGGACGGCATTAAACACTCAGGCTCCATAGTTCGAGCTGCACACCCATTCCCGTCTCTTAGTCGTGAATATAAATAGGAACTGTGAACTGGACGCAGCCAAATAGTTTCGTGAATAACAACCAGCCTTAATAAAACAATTTAATGTTTTGTAAAGACTAAATATCTCATGGGGAATTAGCTTCTTAAAGGGGTGGGGGGAGGTGTGGTTCAGTGATTCAACAACAACAACAACAACAATTTATTAGGTATTGCCATGTACGTACATGGCATTAACTACTCTCTAAAAAGTAATTGATTAATTAACTAATTGGTTAATTCACTTTTGAAATTACATGATAGTGTCTACGATCCATAATCTCAAAAATAAAAGCAGCAACTGGTTTACAAATAAATGGATCAATATTGTTTAATATGAACAAATTTTTGATTTTACATCTAAATCGTTAAAAAATTAATATTTGTTAATGGTTTCATCAGAAAAAATTGTTGCGAAGCGTATCATACAGAGTGCAAGAAAACACATATAACATGACATTCATTTTCAACTTCATTAGCTTGACATATGGAACAAATTCTTAAGTCTTCGGGAGTCTTGGGTGTAGTATATCTCCCCGTTTCGATACGAAGTCGATGATTTCCTAGGCGAAATTCATTAATAGCAGATCTATGGAGAAAATTTTTTATTGCACCTCAGTAGAAATTCGGTTCTGTTGGTATCTGTTTTAAAAGTATAATTTGTAAAAATTAAATTTCCTGTTCGAGACAAGAATTAAGAGTTGGCGGTTGACTAAAGCTTTAGACAAATTTTGAGCGACACTGGAGATGAGAGTTTTCACCTACCGTTGTTTTCATTTAAAATCATGCATGGAGCATGAACTTTATTTATCACATAATATTTTAATCTTTTGTGATATGCCTGTCTGATTTTTCTCAGCCATATCCTTTGAAAGTTGTAAATCAAAAGTATTAGGGAGGACGTGCTTATTTAGTAAGAGTAAATGTTACAAGGAAATAAATGGTAAATTCAAAATAATAACTGACTGTACAATAAAGCGTAGCGCCCATTGTCCAATTGATTACCATCGATCAACCACTAATAAAGCACTAGATGACAGGGACCGCGGAGACCATTTTAAAGTGGTGGGGCTAAAAAATCTGGCCAGTACAAAGAAGCATTAAGTTCAGTGTTTCGCCATTTATCTTGCATTTGCTCGCCATCTTATTTACAACCTCAGCAAATATAACATAAACGTCGTCACTTGTTATAGTGTTCAGTATAGCCAATATGTTAAATAAACCTTCCTAAGATTGCTACTTTTTGAAGTTGTCCGCAATGCTAAAGTTTCTCTTGAGGTTTTCATTGCGGGAAACAAACTCCTGTGCGACTTCAGCTACTGTCTGTTCTCCGCTTGTGACCATTCCGGCAACACTGCTAAGTTGCTAAACCTTTCGTCACGCATCTTGGATCGAAGCGACGTCTTCAGACGCCGTGCAGATGAGAGTGAACGCTCGCCAGCAGCACTGGTAACAGGATTTACAGCAAGCAGCTTACAGATAGTTTGGACTTCCTGAATTAGCCTCTTTTCTGGTTCTGGAAACTATAACACCGCCAACAGGATTTCGTTAAAACATGATATCTTCTCCTCCTTTAACATAACTTCCAAAATACTTAGTTGCTCAGGTAGCGCCCCTGTATCAACATCTTCGCTGTATGACGCATCACGAAACTGAACTCTGCCTCGTCGTCACCAATATGAGCTTTAACCAAGAGGGTCTCCATCTGGGCGTAGGAGCTGAAGCTTTCCTGATTAACGCGGTGATATATAGCCCGACGATAAGATGAATACCCTCATAATAGACCCCTCTAAAGTGATCTTTGGCAGTTTGGGGATAGCTTGGTGCACCAGCACCAACCTCTAGTCTGACCAAAGTGCGTCGTTTTCTTGGAAGCGTTGGTTCGCTAAGCAGGCCTTCACTCTTGCAGGCAACATCAGCATAGAAATGGTCCAAGCTTTCATCAGTGCGAAATTTTGTCAGCGTCTTCTTTGTTAGTCTTGGCAGGCGTTGTCCAATGACAGCAGCCATCTTAGTACCCTGAAAATCCTTAGATAGATTATCGGTGTGGGAATAAAGGTGCTCTCCAAGATGAAAAGCAAAGAAAAAATTAAATCGCTCCTTCCATTTTGGGCCTTACATCTTATTATCCTTGCAAGCAAATCGGGTTGTAATCGTTCGGACATACAAACACCCAACTCTTCCATAGGGCAAAGTCCAATAATTCCACGGGAATTTTTTCCATGTCAACTGGAGCCCTAGAAAATAAATCCCAGCAATAAAAGTGGTGGGGCTATAGCCCTACCAGCCCCTCCCCCTCCGCGGTCCCTGGATGAATAAAGCAGCCCTAATGCACTTTCTACAGGTTTGTACTTAATCAAAGGTGTCGAAAACAGACAGTGTTTCAGGTGATCATACTAAGCAATATTCTTTGATTCAAACTCGATCGATTCACGGTTTCAAATTTGACCTATATACTCCGTGGTGAGTGTTAAACTTTTTACTTTTCTCGCTTTACTAGGTGCTGAAGAAATGCAATTGTTAGGAACAGTGTAGAACGTAGCGGTCAAAGCCTTTTGGCAGTGAACGTTAGATTTAATTTAATAATATTTTTTAAACTGTTAGATAACAGTGTAGGTGGATCTTATGATTATCGAAGAAAATCAAATTTGCGGAAAGAAATTTAAAAAGCCAGTGAATGTTAGAGAAGCTGGCTTATCTATAAGTCATCGAATTGAAAAAGACCTTTCTTTGAGTTTCTTTTTCAAACAAAGCGATGGCAAATGTTATCTCTTTATCTAGCCGGTAATATTACGCTTACAACATTTAGCTTGCGGCTCTTCCAGTAGTTGCACGATACTTCCCTGTGCTTTTATCTGTTTGTTTAATTTTCAACCGGAATTGAAAGTTTAAAGTTTAGTTTCGCGATGGGCTGTGACGCATAAAAAGGGCCCCTCAAAAATATCAAATTTCTGAGCTTATCATTTTGCGGTAAACATGCAGCTATATTTTGCATTAAAACACACACAGATTTTTGGTGGACCTTCAAGAGCTGATCGAGGTCAATTCTTAACAATAAGTAGCATTCATGCTTTTCATAGGATCGCAAAAGTAACGACCTTTTTATTATTCACCGAACCTGAAAAATTTTGAAAGCGAAACTCCATTAATAAAACGCGGAACAATTTTACAAAATCATTGCCTAAGTAGCGGCCACCAATTTTTAATTACGAAATTAGCCTCGATTCTGGCGTTCAAATTCTGAACAGCTGGGCGTCTGTTATGTTCGTTCCTTGTGAACGGAATAACTATTTGGTCGACATTTCGTCCACTGAGTGCCGTGTGAACATAACATTTGCATAGGTCTGCATACATTTCAGGCGTGCAGCTAACAGGTAAGTTTTGTGGACTTCCAATTCCTAGGCCAACTGTCATTTGACACTTTTGACGAAAGAACAACAATTCAAAACATGACACGGTTTAAATAATGAGCGATCCAATATTGTCAACAGTCATCACGTTCTTTTTCGCTTCAAACACAGCTCTAGAAAACGAAAAAGAGAGATCTAAACAAGAAATAAGCCTGCTTTTTTTCTTTTGTCTGGTTATAAAGAGAGTTCCTATTTCTTAGATAAACACACCACAGATACATTTTGGAAATTCATTTTTTTTGCATTAATTTCTTTTTATCGACTTTTTAAAAAAGCGGGCCGTCGTCTAATCCACAGAAGACAAATGGCTGCCATTTGCGGAATAAAACCCTGGATTGGAATACACAGGAACGACACAGCCGCCTACCTAAATGATATGATACTCGTAACTGTCAACGGATCTCTTGCCATATTTGCATTTCTTAGCAACCAGTGGTCATCATTGTCACAGTAATCAAGACCCCTTCCTTACAGAAGCCGTGCAACATTCTACTGAGTAACCTGGCCTTTGCAGATTGCCACACGGGAGTTATCGTCCAGCCCATGTTTATTGTGTAGCGACTTTTTCTTCAAAGAGCCCGGCAGTCATGTCTACATCAATTTCTGGTGTTTGATGTGTATTACACTTTACAAGTGCTGACCGTTGGTTTATCATTTGTCAACGTTATAATTAGCAGTTTTGATCGCCACTATGCCTTGGACAGACCTCTGGTGTATATAACTCGCGCCACTAAAACAGGTGGATCTTTTACTTGAGCATTTGATAAATAAAGCCTCTCAGAAGAAAAGATATATGGACAATTTCACTGTAAGTAACTATAGTTACTAAGGGTATAATAGAATTCTAACTGGTCCAGGATTAAGGCATTTAATCAAAGAGCTGGAATATTTTGCCCAAGATCGCGCGCTCTCATTGGTTACGTGGAGGTCACATGACAGCTAGGCCTAGAAATAGACTGTTTCCCACCAAAAGTGTCTGAGTAGGTTCCATTGCAAAATGTATGAAATTAGTGACGGCTTGCTGATGTTTACTTTCAAAAATACACATAGGTTTTTCTTTGTGTGCTATATTTCACCCAGGGAAACAAGTTAATTATGTTTCTCTTAAATCTCAATGTTTACCTCGGCTTATCCGTGTAAGTCAAAACAATAGATACTTTTTTCATGTTATAAAGTCGAAGAAGGGTTTCATATACGATTCAAGAGACATTCATTGCCTTAAACGCACTTCTTGCAGTACCGGTGTTAAGTTTAGGAAAAGTTCGAAAAGTTCGTCTCCGGGACAAACATGGATCTTCAAATGCGATGAACTAAACTAATAAATCAAAAATTTGTACAAATGAATGATAAATATTTAGCCTCGTTCGGGTGAAATTTCGACGTCCAATAGACGATCTTAGCTTAGTTTTGTTCGACCCAGATTCGAATTTTGTTCGTCTTATGAAAAGTTCGACCTTTGGCCTTAAACCTTTACTCAGGTATATTAAGGCCTGGGTCTGCCCCTTTTTTGCTCTGGAATGTAAGGGGGTAGTCTATCTTTGAAAGAAAATGTATGGTAGGTTTACAGACTTAGTCATTCCATTATCTTTGTTAAGATAGTATTTTTGAGATTGACATCACCATGGTACCGTATTGCGTGGCCAAGCAACGCTTCAATTCCGTATTTTTTCTTTGAGGATTCTGGAGGCAGGGTAAAAATACTATTATTGAGAATTTTTTGTGGTATTGTTTTTACATATCTGAAGTACTTTCCAAATTTAACTGGAATGGTGGTATGCCTACCCTTGATGAATGTTTTCAGTCTGAGTCACGTGACACCTATTGTGACAACTTTCAATCAGACTTAACCTTTACAACATGCTTAAGCTCTTACCTAAGTTTCCTATCAATATGTTGCATATTTACAGAGATAGACCACCCCCTTCATTTTCTTTCATGTAGTTTACGTGCCTTAATTGATCCAGTCCTTAATATACCCTTTCCATATCAGGTCTGTAAGCACCGCGAGGACGGCATCGAGATCGTCACAAAACAGTTGGTTTACGAGCAAAAGAACGGCTCGGCACGCGCATGCTGGTACATTTCTTGAACATTGATTGGCCGACTACGACGTGAACCTTCCTAATGCGAAGTAAGATCGAGGACGTGAAAGAAAAATTCCTTTTTAGTAAAATTTCACTTCTTGTGTATTGTCATCAGTCTACATGCGGCTGCCTTTAAACTGACCTTATTTTATTCGATCCTGTTTTGCGGGAGCATTTAAAGTTGCCATCTTCACAAACATAATCTGGCTGCTGTTAACAATCCTAGTTCTATTTGCTTTGCCTCCTGTACCAGGCTTCATGTTGGTGACTACCTTTGGTGTGCTGTTTCTGCTTGTTCCGCCTGTTAGTTACATTCGAGCACTGCTCGCTATTCGTAGTCATAACGCTCAGTTGGGTGATGCAGTTACGCTCCAGATGTCAATAGTATTGTAGCGCGAGAAAAGAGTTGCACTTGATATGTGCATTGTTGCCGGCTTGCTGTTCGCCTCTCTGCCACCAGCTTTTGGCATGTTGATTGGTCAAAAGAGATATTCTCGGCTACACTCCGTTCTGCTTCCATGGTGTTTGACAATGTCTTTTATTCCGTCCTGTGCAAATCCAGTGATGTACTTTGTACGTTTTAAGAACATGAGAAATGCCTTTAAATCTATTATCAACATATAATGGAGCGGCTTTCACAGTCACCCATAAGTAGGCAACTGTTTTACATTCTCAACACATTTATTACAACTCCAACGTGGCCGCCTCACGTGAAGGCTAACTACATGGATAGCATAATGTACACGTGACACGTAACATGTGACCTATACTGTGACATCCCCCTCTTTAAGAGCTGACAGTAATTAAAATCAATGTTCAATGTTCATCAGCTGAGACTCAGATAAAAAAAAAACTGTAACATGCCTTGGCCATAAGACGTAACTGTAACGAAGAACAATAGCGTTTAAATGTTCAGTTACATCTAACTTTACTCTGTAAGGGGAGGTACGTTTTTTCTTGGCGGAAGAGGGCTGGGGAATTTCCGTACTTTTTTGCAAAAAAAGTGTTGGCCCTCTCTTTGAATATGTTTGAATATGAATATATCTCGATATTGAATGTGTGCGCGCTGAAACAAGAAAATAGGGACTTTGCGTTCCTTCAGTCTTTACAGCGATTATTCCTACCCTATTCCTTACTTTGTCAAATGTACGCGAACCCTCCTGAAGCTGAATTTCAAGGGACCATGGCCAAGCTCAGAACGAGAAATAAAATTTCGTCGTTGTTTGTTTACGTCCTCCATAAAACGCAAAATTAGGCATTCAGTTTCACGTCGTAGTCGTGCGAAAACGGGAAAGAAATGTACAAAAAAGCGTGATGCACGTGGAAAGTTGTTGTTCAATTGTTTTTTTGACGTTCTCGTTGCCGTCCGCGTCGTTGGATCTTAAATTCCCTAATGCGAACAATCAGTGTGGGATATTTACGTTTTATTGCTGAACTTTGAATATGGGAGAATAAAGTTTGAGGATTTTAAAAGTTTTGAAAATAAAATATAGAAGGGAAAAACACGCGCTTCTTTCTCCGACAAGCCGGCATTGCCTTTGGTTGTTTTAATTAAAAGGTTTGTTTGTTTTTTAATAGCATGCGAAATCTGGCTCTCAAAAACAAATATTTCCTACATTTTCGAATTCTGTTAAAGGCAGGCAGGCTTCTGTAGGAAAGGGAACTTCTCGCACATTATTGAAGCATCATTGAAGCGTGCGCAAAGAAAGCAACAGGAATACAATGACATTGACTGGAAGATCTCTATCACAGAAACCAGTTGTCATCCCTTAGAGTAGCTGAACTTGGACTTTACATTAATCACCACAATATTTTCATTTAAAAGAAAGAAATGTGAGAAAGTGAGAGTGGTGAAGGCACATATTGGTAGTAAGATTATGACTTTTATTGTGCAGGACAGACAGCAAACATTCAGCAAGCTGCCTCTAACTCTTCTAACTCAAATTCAGAGTCTGCCACTGACAGTTACAGGGTAAAGCGAATTGTTAGACCTACTAATAGTAACTTTTTGGAACTAAACGCCGCAAGAGACCAGGCAGCGGATAGTTAACAGGAGAAAGAAGCTGCAGAAACGATACCTGAGTCTCGATACGGAAGGAAAAGGACACGAGTCCTTCGAGAAAACTATGTGCCATGACATAATATACATGGAGAAATGTAACCTAGTACCTATAATAAATCACCAAATTAAGTCAAAGTAGGTGAAAAGAACCGGTCGGATGCAACGCGTCTTCCTGCGTGGTACTTGCTCGTCCTGGTCTCCACTTTTATCTGAAGTACCCCAAGGAACAATCCTCGGACCCGTCTTATTCATTTTATACGTGAATGACATTTCGTCAGGTATTTCATCAACGGTTAAACTGTATGCAGATGATACCAAGGTTTACAAAGAGATCTCCGACATAGCTAGAGACACAAGCATCCTTCCGGTCCGACTTATTCCACCTTAGAAATTGGTCTGAGGTCTGGCAGTGAAACTTCAATGCGAAGAAATTTGAAATTATGCGAGTTACACATAATCGTGATAAATCTGTCCCACATTACTCCCTCGTCCCGCGTGGAGAACGTCTAAGTTCAGTGAGTTCTGTAAAGGTCCTCGGCATCACAATCTCGCATGACCTCTCGTGGTCTTTACACGTTGTTGAGGTTGTCAATAAGGCCAATAAAGTTCTTGGTCTGATCAAGCGAACAATTGGTTCTGTAAACAAGGAAATCTTTTCTATACTGTACAAGGCTATTGGGAGACCAATCCTCGAGTACGCTTCCCCTGTATGGTGCCCTTACCTAGTTAAGAATCTTGTTCTCTTAGAGAAAGTTCAGAGAAGAGCTTCTCGATTGGCCTTAGGTGGAGAGATGTCATACGAAGATCGCTGCGCAATGTTACGGTGGTCGCAGTTGACTGATAGAAGGCTATATTTTTCTTTGATTGAATGCTATAAACTTGTATTCGGACTGAATAGCCTTTGTTTTTCCAATTTTTTTGAGTTCGCTTCAAAACGTACCAGGTCCAATCACAACTACAAACTGCAAGTTAAATCGGCTAACTGCAGTTGTTATAGATACTCTTTCTTTGTTAAAATTATTCGTGAATGGAATGACCTGCCCGCCAATGTTGTTGAGATAGGAAATTTAAGACGTTTTAAAATAGCTCTTAAATTGTACATGCGTATTTGTTAGGTTTTTATCCATCTTAGATCTTGGATTTTATTCATAAGCATACATTTTTAATTTTTATTTTTGGAAGTTTATTTACATAGGGTCAACCTCTTAAACTTCCTTTTTAGGGTATTATTTGTATCGTTTATTTCTTATGATACCTTAAATAAAGTATGTATGTATGTATGTATGCAAAAGAAAAACTTAATCTGTAAGAAGAATGTAAAGCAACATCACAAAAAACCTCATTAAAATATTCTGGAAAAGATGTGTGACCCTCCCCTCGAATAGCTCACAAAGAGGTATGGCCCTCCCCTTTTGGTGATTCAAGCATGGGCGGAAGAGCCCCTGGGTACCGACTCTCACCGGACCATTTCAAAACGGTCAAGAGAATGCTGGTTCTTGATTGGGCTCAAAAAATGCTTTGTATTATTGTGCCCAATCGGCGAACAGCATCTCCTCAGTTCTTTTCGTGAGTTCGTACACGACGGCTATTATCTCGCCACAATTGCCCGGCTCGTTCACCAAGCTTTCCTAACCAGAAACGAAAGAACTACCGATGAGTCGAAAAACGTTTCGGATGCTATCAGCAGGAGCAATTTAATTTGCACTGAGAAAATTCTTTTTTTGACGGATCACAATGGATCGTAAATAATAGGAGTTTAAGATGAAGCGGCGACGAGAAAGTAAAAAAAGCAATAGCTTGGCAAGGCAAAGCAACAACTTTACACGTGCATCACGCTTTTTTGCTTATTTCTTTGCCGTCACTGCACGACTAGCACGTGAAAATGCCTAATTTCACGTTTTGTGAAGGACGTAAACAAGCAATGACAAAATTTTCTTTCTCTTTATGAACTTGGATATGGTTGATAGAAATTCAGCTCCAGAAGAGTTCGCTTGCATTTGACAAAGTAAGTAAGTTGGAATAATCACAATAGAGACTGAAAAAATGTGATTTCACTCTTCATGCGACGTTTTCGCCGTTGTCAGCTGTCGTGGCATGTTACACTCCCTAATATTTACGAAGGCGTGATCGATGCAAGCGTGAATACCTGTTGTAAGCTCAAGCTTGTATTTTTGGAAAAACGTCTTTAGTTTTCGAGTAGACAGTGGTTGTGTTTACAATAGGCTGTTTAGTAAGACTTAAGAGCTGCTAAGTTTTACTTAACCAAAAATGCGTGTGTGAAGGCCTCAGCAAAATCTCAATTAACTTTGCTTTGCATCTCATTAAAACCGACTTAGCGAACTTGCAGTTTCCAAGCTTTGAGAAAGGCGAAGCATGTCAATCAATCTTAATCACGTTGCGTGGGGAAACCTGAAGAAAAAAGGTAGGTTTTGTGTGAAACTTTCTTTTACTTGAAGAATTTAAAATTTACTTGTCTTGAAATATTTCCTAGCTTATTTAGGCTCTGGTGTTAAGTCTACCAGTATTTTGAAATGTAGCGTTAAATGAAACCGAAAGATTCCTGACTGCATTCATTTCTTTGGTGCATGAAACAGACAAGCCGTGATCGAGTCAATAGCCGTCGTGTACCAACTCACGAATAGAACTCAGGAGATGCTGTTCGCCGATTGGGCACAATAATACAAAGCATTTTTTGTGCCCAATCAGGAGTCAGCATTCACTTGACCGTTTGGAAATGGTCCGGTGAGAGTCGGTACCCAGGGGCTTTCCGCCCGTGCTTGAAAACTTTTGTCACGCCTTTCCCCGGTCCTACTGACCGCCCCTGGGTCTGCGAGGATGGTGTTAAAGTTGTTTACATATATTTTTTAACGGTTTAGCTAAAAGCCCAACCGTGCTTCGATCGTCTTGAATATAGGCCGAATTTATACTAGAGACGAATTATTCACCTAAACGGATTACCCGTCTCAGACGGATAAGTCGTCTCTAGTATAAATTCGGTGCTAAGACGAATTATGAAGCAAAATTCGTCTGAGGCTGATTCGTCTGTTAGCGATAATTCGTCTGTCTCTAAATTTATATCTAGATGGAACGTAGACGGCTTTTTGACGAAGTTTCCACATGAGAAGGACTGGTTTCTCTATTTTGGCAATGTTTACTGTTTCCCGGGGTTGTTTTCCCACTTAAAACATCTAGACAAATTATGGAGCAAAACTCTTCTTCGAATTTATACTTAGACGAATTATCCGTCTGACGGATAATCCGTCTAGACGGATAACTCGTCTCTAGTATAAATTCGGCCATTGGCAGAGTGCAATTTGTATTGCAAAATTGT